TCCAGGTCATGCTTAAACAAACCAAATCAAGACTTAAAACCAAGCTCAAAGCTTCCCAAAGGTTGGAATACAGAAACACAAGCTGCGAATGGAGAACATCAGCTGCCTGCAGCAGTCAAAGGGGGCTTGCCCCACCAAGCCAACACCCTCCTCGCTCCTACTCCACCCCACTCCTTATGAGCAAGGGGGAGGAGATGCTCCAGCCCCTCACCCCTGAGGCTCGTAAAGCCTTACCCAGCTGGGAGCAAGCTGTGGCACAAAGGAGCCTTCAGAAGCACTGCTGAGCAAGTGCTGGTGGCTTGGTCTTGAGGGTGATCTTGCCTCTCAGATGAGAGCCTCTAAAAGCAAAATAACAAGTGAAGGAAAATGGTGCACACTCCAATTCCCCCTCTACATGTGCTGCTTAATGTTTCCCTATATAGGTAAAGCCAAAGGGTGCAATAAGTTGGGTACCTGTGAGCTTTGGGGGTACTAGGGACAAGCCACTCTAGAAATGCTGGAAGCAGTAAGGCAAGCAGGATGGATGAGCATCTTCATCTAGGAGCACTGTATTGCTCTGCACTGAAAGCCAGCAGCATCCCACACTTGCTCCCTTAGGGAAATTAAAAGCAGCTGAGCGTGGAGGCAAGTTTAACACCCAGACACATAGAGAATAACACAGGGTCCGGGTTGGGGTTTTCGTTACAAACAGTGTATTTGGATCCCTGTGAGAGGGTGGCACCATCCTGCTGCAGGGAAGTCAAAAGCCAGGCAAGAGGCACAGCAAGCCTCAGCAGGACCAGCCCCGCTCCCACTGCAAGAGATGGAGCCAGGTGCCGAAGATGCATCAGACCCCACAGCCAGGGGCTTTGCAGTGGTGTGAAGTCGCTCCTGCAGCACTAAATAGCAGCTGGGGTGTTTAGGAGGGCAGGGAGTCACCTCAAAAGGCTCAGGTGTGCTTACAAAGCAGCTTTTGGCCGTCCTTCCCCTCTGTCCTGCTCCCTGGCCACCCGCAGCGGTGGAAAGCGGACAAACCAGGAACGACAGCCCCATCTACTGGGACCTTGGAAACGATCCTCACCCCGGCACTTGGCAGCTGTGCAGCCCCGCACCATCATCATCCTCCTGATACCTGCCAGGTGGGAGCGATGCTCCGAGGGCTGTCTGCCCCCGGGGGCCCATGTTTGTTAACGTGCCGGTGTCCGAGAGCAGCGGCAGGCAGGTAGGGTCATCCTCCCCTAGCTCAGACCCAAAAGGCAAATATAGAACCATGGAAAGGTTTGGGTTGGAAGGGACCTTCAAAGCTCATCCAAGTCCAACCCCCTGCAATGAGCAGGGACATCTTCAACCAGATCAGGTTGCCCAGGACCACATCCAGCCTGGCCTTGAGTGTCTCCAGGGATGGTTCATCCACCGCCTCTCTGGGTAGAGTAGGGTAAAGGCAGATCAGTGCTACCAGCCTGCAGATGGGAAGAGTGGAACATCAAGCAAACGGAGCTGAGTCTTCAGCTGTGCGTAAAGCCCTTTGCTTCCTCGAAGAGAAAAAGCCCTGCTGTAATCCTACCACAATACCCGAGTACTAAAAATGCCAAGTGATTATCTGAGCAAAGAAATGACCGGAGAGGAAAAGGAACATCTGTGAATGCGGGCACACGGATTAGAGAGGGAATTAGGAAGCACGTGTGCATGCGAGACCCACGGATCACATCATAGCATACTGTCCTCAACAGCTCATTTCTCCAGAGGGGCTCTGTGATGCTCAGCAGCACCAGGTAGCTCCTGCTGTGACCAAATGTGGGAGAGAAAGGCTGTCCTAAAAAACATACCTAGCTCAATTCAACCAACCCAAACACATAAAGATCCCTCTCTCCTCCCCTGTGCCCCTGCATGCTAGGAACAGAGCCCTCCTGCAATGGAAGCGAAGGAGCTCTGCTGCAGCAGCCAAAGCTGCCTCCTTTTCCAGAGGCCTGCTATCCATCCCCTCTGCAGAGGTCCTATCAAAGGAACCCTTCCACCCCACCCCAGTCACCCCAAAGAGGCAATTCTGATTCCACGCGCAGAGATCTGAGGGTATCAAGTTATTTTGGGCAATCTCAGAACTGGGGAGTGCATCAGCAGCCACTGTCCCCAATGGAGCTACAGCACTCACCCAGGGTCTCAAAGCAAACAGGATCTCACCATCCCCTGACACACAGTGACCAACCGCAGGTGGCAGGAAGGAGCTGCCCACTGCTGGGTGCCAGGAGAAAGGCTCAAGGATGTGCCAGAAACACACCTGAATCCCAAAATGGTTTGGAGTGGAAAGGACCTTAAGATCATCCAGTTCCAAGCCCCTGCCATGGGCAGGGACACCTCACACTAGATTACGTCTCCCAAGGCTCCATCCAACCTGACTTTGAACACTGCCAGGGATGGGGCAGCCACAGCTTCTCTGGGCACCCTGTGCCAGCGCCTCAGCACCCTCACAGGGAAGAACTTCTGCCTTAGATCTAACCTGAACTTCCCCTGTTTCAGTTTGAACCCATCACCCCTTGTCCTATCACTACAGTCCCTGATGAAGAGTCCCTCTCCAGCATCCTTGTAGCCCCCTTCAGACACTGGAAGCTGCTCTGAGGTCTCCACACAGCTTCTCTTCTCCAGGCTGAACAGCCCCAATGTTCTCAGCCTGTCTCCCTACAGGAGGTGATCCGGCCCCTGAGCATCCCCGTGTGGACTTGCTCCAACAGCTCCATGTCCCTTTTATGCTGAGGACAGCAGAGCTGCACACAGTGCTGCAAGTGAAGTCTCACAAGAGCAGAGGGGCAGCATCACCTCCCTCGACCTGCTGCTCACACTGCTTTTGACACAGCCCAGCACCACGGGTGACATTTGTGCTGCTGGCAAACAGAATGGGAAGGGCCTTTTTAGGGCCAAATAGTGAAGCGCTCATGTGCCTCTCAGATAAAAGCTGTGCATTAAGTATCTGTAGCTGCCTTGCATCTAAATAGGTAAAGCCAACAGATCAGCTCCCTTTGCACAACAGCATAGCTGGGTTGCTTTAGGCTTTTTACTGCTAATATGCACTGTTACAGTAAAAGAAATGAGCACATGTGCTAAGGGAGAGCATTCTTTACAGGTTGACTGGCATGGCCAAAGGAGAATACCAGATCACAGCAACATGGGTACGCACATCCAATTTGAACCCATCTCCACCTCTAACCAATCCCATTTCTCCTGGTAAAGGGTCTACCCTCCATCATAGCTATTAATCACAAATATACTCCCCCAAAATAACTAAAATCAAAGAATTAAGGGGGGGAAAGGTGTTTGGTTTGGCTTTGGTATTTTTTTCTGAGGATTACTACAGCACTTTTGAGGGAGGAACCGGTGACACCGGTGCTAGAACTGCAGCTTCATCAGGGGAGCAGCTCCCAGTCCAGGGCTCTCCTCCCTATTCCATCCACCCACCCTCAGCGGGCCACAGGATGCCCTGCAGCCTGCTGGAAGCTGGGACACATGCAATGGCAGGCACAGAGCTTCCACCACCCTTGGCCATAGACCATGCCCCACACTACCCATGTACTGCCAGTTTAAGACAGCAGTGTGTGGTGTGTATTAAACCAGTCTTTTATTTCCCTTGCAGTACAGCAGGACTGAAGTTAGGACCACTCCGTGGCAGTGCCAACCCACTCAGTTGCCTGAGCTGTGGGAGCTGCTGACCAGTCCTCAGTGGCAGGCTGGGCACTCCAGTCCTCTGCAATTACAAAGCCAACAATTAGCACAGCACAGCTCTTCCCACCCCCTGCAACAGCCCCTCTACTTCCCACAACCACCCCCCAAACTGACCTGTGGGGAACTGCTGGATGGGCACAGATGGGACCTGCACTCCCTCAGACCAATCTGCAACCTCAGGCTGAGGAGGAGCAGTGAATTCAGGAGCTGGGGCCGTCCATTCCGTCTGGAACTCCTCCTTTGTAACTGCTTTCTCAGCAGCAGCCTGCTCCTCCTTTTCAATCTGCAACGGAAGAGCACACAGCCTAAGTCTCCCAGAAACACCTCACCACCCTACATGGACCAGACAACAGGCACCACAGTGAACCAACCATCACCTTCCAATGTGAAGTGCAGTGATGATACTGGCACAGCCTGTCTCTAACAGCAGGCACAGACATGGGGCAGGAGCACCATGCAAGCAAGGCACATCAGACACATCTCCTACCTCCTCGGGATCCCTGTAGAAGTACAAGTCAGGCATGACTTCCCATGGATGCTCACGGGAGATGGTGCCACGCATGCGCAGGACCTCCCGAGCCAGCATCCACCACATCAGACCCACAGAGTGGGCTCCCTGGAACAGGAGAACAGGGTGTAAGACCTGCTGCAAAGCTAAAACCTCCAAAACACCTTTTCTTCTTTGAAAGAGCAAGACTTTCGTGCATCAAATCCAAGGTTCTTACTTGGCAAGTGAAAGACATTACTTGCTAATGCCCAGACTTGTGCACTGGGGACTCAGGAAAAGGCAACTTGCTGAGTTCCCAGTGACATTTTCAGGTCTCTGCAGGAATCAAAGCACAGTTCAAATCATCAGCACCTGAATTTGCTGTATCCAGCATTGCTTGAAGCAATTCTCCTGCTATGGAGTTCCTACTGCTCGCTAACCCATGTGAATCTTATCCAAAAGACAGGGATTATGCTCATCACATCCTAAAATGAATAGAAAAGTCAGCTAAATGAGCAAATCTCACACACACGCTCAGAACTGGCTTACATAAGTTGTAGTGAATGACATCTAGATGGAGATCAAAGGTAAGTTTCCCATCTTCCTAGACTTCCAGGTGGTTTCTGGCAAGGTCATGTTTCTGAGCAGTTTCTTCAGCATGTCTCTCTCACAGAATGGTTTGGATTGGAAAGGACCTTAAGATTATTCAGTTCCAACCCTCCTGCCATGGGCAAGGACACCTCATACTAGACCGTGTCACCCAAGGCTCTGTCCAGCCTGGCCTTGAATACTGCCAGGGATGGAGCATTCATTCATATGCATGGACTGTGGCAAGAGTGACTACCAAACTTCATTCATTGGGCCACAAAGACCCTCCTGGTGCCAGTACAAAGTCTTGCCAAGTTACTATAGCACACGTCCTACACTTGAGAGTTCCTTGGCCAGAAACAGGCCTCAGCTCCAAGCTCCAACTGTGTGCAGATCGCCTCACCCCCTCCCCTCCTGCTCTCTTGCAAGAGGCCTTAACTAGTGAGACACAAGGCAACCCTTACAAAGCCTCTACCTTGTTGTTGCAGGGGATAGCAATGTCCACGTAGCGCAGCGGGGAGTCGGTGTTGCAGAGCGCGATGGTGGGGATGTTGACATAAGATGCCTCTGTCAGGGGCTGATGGTCAGCCCGGGGGTCTGTGACAACCAGGAGTCGTGGCTCACGGAAAGCTGCTTGGATCTGGTTTGTGAAGGTGCCAGGGGTGAAACGTCCAGCGATAGGAGTAGCCCCGGTGGCAGCAGCAAACTTGAGAACAGCACGCTGCAAAATAGACCAGAGTCAAGACTGAAGCAGGAAAACTGTGTTTCGAGCCACCCACCCAGGTGTGAGCATGCACAACATTGAGCTGAACTGTTTGTTTCAAGTCCTGGGTAAAATCAGGGCTCACCACCAGCTCTGCGCTCAGAATGGGACAAAATAAGGATGCTTCTGAAAATAGCTATGCCAGCACCAGGTGTTATAAAGATCATATCCACCAGCAAAGCAGGAATTCAGGATAGGAAACCCTGTGGTTTTTTGAAGTCTGCATGGTCTACTCCATAGTCTCATAATGAAAACACAAAAAGGGGGAGAAAACAGCTTAAGAAGGAAGCAAAGCTGATTTTCTTCCATTATTTCTACATCTTTCCATTATCTAGCAGCGTAACCACAGGGAAAACTCAGTAATAAATACAGACAAACTGCTGCTGTGCCCATGAAATCTGCAGTGCTTACTCACCTGCACCATCTCCTCGGGCATGTGGCAGGGCCTACTATCAAACTCCACTCACAGAGGGAGCCCCTCTCCTGGCGTTAGCGAACACCCTGCCATGCAGTTTGCTGTAGCACACTTCCGACACTTGAGAGCTCACCGGCCAAAAACTGACCTCAGCATCAAGCTTTAACAGTGTGCAGGTCAATCCCATGTGAACCCAAGCTTTTCCTTTGTAAACCCACCCCATGTCATCCACAATCTCCCTTAAACATCTGTGGCACCACCTACATTGATCCAAAGAAACTCAGTTCACAGCTAAACATCAGAGGGCAGCTGGATATTACTTAAACGTTGTATCCCCTTCTCTGACACTTTTTTGCTAGGAATCTAGAGAGGAAACTAAAACCACAGTTACTCCACTTTGCTCAGGAACAGTGCAAATGATTTCCTTGGAAAAGTATGTATCAAGCACTTATTGTCCCCAAAAAGCAGTGCCAATGGCTCACAGAATTATTAAGAGCAAGGGGAGCACCGGCGGCCTGACCACCAATACGAAGCACCTAGAGAATATGAACAAAGTTACCAAACGTCCTAAAACTACAGAAATAAGACGTGGGTTTCAACTGATCCAAGCTGCAAGTGCAACATAAGAAACACACACACAAAAAAAGCATTTTCAGGGTCAGAATCTGTGCTGCTTTCACCATTAAACTGCCACTGGCAGGCAGTGATGCAGCCAAGAGTCCTGGTGCCAAGACTGCAGGCTTCATGACCAACGCACATCCTTACCTGTCCAGTATTCCTAGAGGAAATGACGCTCACATCAGCTGGGTTCTCAATGGCAACAATGGCACGGGCTGCCAGGAGGAGCTTCTCCCAGGTCCTCTTCAAGTTGATGATGTAAATACCTATTGGTGACAAAAGGCTTTAGAGCAACCAGCTGATACAACACCCTAGAACAGGGCAGCACTCTCCTGCCATTAAACTTGCTGCATGGCTGTGGTTACTGCAAAATTCCATTACTGGAAAGCTATTTATGTGGGAAGCAACCTATGAACATGATGGATGCAACACTTCAGGCATCTATCAACATGAACCAGGGCCTGATATGAACATCACCCTTTTAACAGGCACAGACTGAAGAACACTGCAAACAAGTAGCAGAAATCACTAGTGAGACGTTAAAACTGCTTTGTTACTATAGTCAAGAACTATCTTAAGTGCCCAAATGCAGCTGTGGTTAATTCAGCAAGTTATCAAATACGTGTTTCATTCTACTTCTCCGGATAAACTGAGTGCATCGGTAAGAAACGCCTGTGCCTTTCAGGCCATGGACACGCCGCTAAAGAGCTCAAACACTCACACCTTGCTCCTTCCTCAGCTGCGCCCACGGAGCCGCCCACCCCCCGTATTTACCATCGCTTTTCCTCTTGTAGATGTACTGCTCCATCTGGAAGTCAAGGTTGGTGCCTCCCAGGTGGGTCCCTGCAGCGAGGAACTTGAGGACATCCTCCTCCTTCATCTGCAGGACATCGAGACCTCCGGACATTGTGGGGTTTCCCTTTGGAAGCGACGACGGGGAACCTGTACGGGCAAACACCGCGCTCAGCCCTCCGCGGACCCCCGCCTCTCACCGCCACACGAGGCCCCTCAGCCACCGCCGCCATCTTGCCCGCGCCGCCCGCCTCCCGCAAGCCTCGGCCAGAGCCGCCGCTCGGCCAGGGCCGCCCGCCGGCACCACGAGGTCCGCGGGAAGAGGCTCCTGGGGACCCCCGCGGTGCCCCGGGACCCCCCCGGAGCCCCTCCGCAGCCCGCCCCGACCGCCGGCCCGCACTCACACTGACAACGCCGTATGGAGGCCCTAGCAGGCGCGGAGCGAAAAGGATGGGCGGCTCCGTGTGACGGCTATATATAGCGCCGCCAGCCAATGAGGAGCCGCGGGAGGGGCGGGAGTTGCTAGGGCAGGAGGCTCCTAGCGACGGGTCCCGGTCCTGACCCACGAGGATGCTCAGGGCTGGAGCCCCTCCTGCATGGGGGCAGGAGGAGGGCACTGGGGCTGTGCAGCCTGGGGAAGAGAAGCTGCTTGAAGGTAGTAGAATGGGTTGGGTTGGAAAGGACCTCAACATCATCCAGTTCCAACCCCTGCCATGGGCAGGGACACCTCACACTAGAGCAGGTTGCTCCAACCCCTTGTCCTATCGCTACAACCCCTAATGAAGAGTCCCTCTCCAGCATCCTTGTAGCCCCCTTCAGACACTGGAAGCTGCTCTGAGGTCTCCACGCAGCTTCTCTTCTCCAGGCTGAACAGCCCCAGTGTTCTCAGCCTTGTCCCCTTTCGGTGAGCAGCCACTTTCCAGCATTCCCCCAAAAGCCCAACCTGCGTGTCAGGAGCTGGCTCTCACAGTCTTCTGTGTGCTTGTTTGATGATCTTAATCAGCGGGATCACCAGAACAGTTGTGGGATACATTTTACGACAGTAATTCAGACATTTGCCACGTGGTGGTGACAAAGATGAGTAAAATGAAACTCGGCAAACAGTTGTGAGCTCTCAGCAAGATCATTGACTATTACACAGGTGCCTAACACATTATAAACTTGTGTTGCTGGGGATAGCGAGAGCTGACACGACGGGGCTATGTCCAATATATCTCCTAACAGATATGATGTGACTATTAGCTTGTGGGGAGAAGAGGGGAGGTGGTGGTGTTACCGTACTGTGTGCAGTAGATTTAGTCTGGAGAGCTCCCCTGTGTCATCAAAAACCATCTGCATTCAAAGTGTATCTGAACAAATTGATGGAAGCTCAGTAACAAATATCGCACTAAATATGTTATCAAAGCAGCTGCTTGAGCAGGGAGGTTGGACTAGGTGACCCCATGGTCCTTTCCAGCACCAACCATTTTGAGTGCTGCTGGTAAGCATTCCACACTCCTCTGGAATATCTAATACTTCACTTATTTCTTCTTGTTAGTTTTGGACCTTTCTGGCAGACCATGAGCCCCAGAGCCCATGAGAGGGCTTGGAAAAGTCATGCTAAAGCTTGACACTAAAATATTTCACATTGTTTTCTTAAGCAACCTGAAAGTTTGGGTTATTTTTACCTGTGTGCTGAGATACTTTAAAATAAACCTCTCTCACTAATGGATATGCTATTCAGATGGAAATGTACCTACCCGATCATGTATTTTAGACCACGTCCCTCCTGTCACTATTCACTTCTTATCCTACAAAGCCAGAATTGCCTAACACCTGATACAGAAGTTGTGGAGGCCTCATTTAACCTCTTGCTGGGCTTTTTTTTTTGTCATTTTTACTAAAAAAAATCCTTAATGCACTATGCTAAAATCTCCCAAAGCATTTTATAGTGATCGAATTGGAAATGGAGACAGTGCAAAGTGGAAAATCGGCTCGGTACTTTGAGCCCAGAAGCACTGCCAGAAGGGATTCAGGAGCTCCACACTGAGTCTCCAGAAGTGTGTGAGATAAGGAATAATTTCTGTGCAGTTGTGGTGTCAGTGATTATGGCACATAATACATTAAAAAAGCAAGCAAAGCTTTGGCCTGGTTTTTCTATGTAAAGAGGATCCTTATTTCAGTGTTTTATTACAAGGACAGTGCCTTTAAACTGTTTTTTTTCCCTCTCTTTCCCACCCTCTACTACCCAAGAGGATTAAGGAGCTTGTCTGCTATCTCTTCTCATAGCTAGGGCAGCTCTCAGCAGCACAAGCAGCAATGTTTTCTACACTGGAGGTGGTTCTCCAAGGCAGCAGGAGAGCTCTGGGGAGCCCTGCGTGCAGGAGTGGGCACTATCACCAGCATAACATGGTATCAAGTACCTGCACAAGCAATTCAGGTCCAGCTGGCCCAAGGCTGCACACCAGGACTGTCTGGTAGGACTGTTACACACAGATAACTCCATATTAGAATGTATCACTTAGGCAATATCTGAAAAGAGAAGGGGTTACAGATGCACATCTCAGTATCAATAACAGCAGTGTTTTCCTTAGCACAACCTGCTAATAAATCCCAGGACCACACTGTGGCAGCAAGAGGAGAGCCCAGCATCACCTTGCAGCAGAGGGTTATGCCCCAGGCACAATGTCCTGTCCCCTGCTGAGATCAGACTGCCTGAGTAGCAAAGACCTGGTTAGCAGGAGATTAAAAACAGTCTCCCCACAGAGTGCTCAAACCCCACTGTCCTAAAGGTGAGTATTTTACCAGCTAGTATGGGGCTTCTGTTTCCAACAGCCTTTACACACAGCAGGCAGGAGGAGGAAGCTGTGAAAAAGACAAGATTCCCCATTGTTATGTGTTCTTTCCATTTAAGGTGATTTAGGTTGCACTAGCACAGCCAGTGTATATTATAACTCACAGAAAAAGAGAATATGTGTTGCCATGTACGTGCTCTGAACTCATCCAATAGTTCTGTTCTCTTGGGAGACTTCTTTTCCTTTTCTTTTCTCTTGGGAGACTCTATTCCATCCCACCCCTTGTGGGTTGATTGGTTTTGAGGGTTGGGGTTTTCAATGAAATGCTGCAGAGGTGACACGGTTCATTTTGGCAACCAGTTTTTAATAGAAATATATAATACACCTTCTCACATAAATATTTTATATAGACACATAAACACTCACAATACTCAAACCTATGCCATGTTCCAAAGCTCCAGTTCTGTTTAAACAGTTCAGGGGGAATACTCACACAGGAAGAATGGAAATGTGAAGTTTCTAAACCATAAATAACCAGATTATTTCTCTTGTGACCTTACAATTCAAATACTGACTGCCTCAATATGTTAACCAGCTGTGTTCTTACACCACAGCTGCACAGGGCAAGCAAAGCCAATGCATGTTCACTAATACGTACCTGAGGTCATTCTGAGGAATATGATTGCATCCTGCCACATATAGAAGGCATCACACCACCTTCCCTGGCATCAAGCTAAAATGGCTTTGGAAGTGATTATCTGATAGGATCATTAGTGTTGAATTGCTGTCATGATGCAGGTATGTGATTAAACACCTGTATCTGGATCTTTTAGTTGATTTACTTTGCATTTAGGCTGTACAGTGGCCATTTGTTGTTGATTAGAAGCACACAACCTCAGGGGTAATCTATCTAAGCTTCAAATCCACACATTTGTCTTTCTTGACTTCCTACAGCTATTAAGAAACACAATAAATCACTTCAGAAACAAAATGGTTTTGAAGAGGGCAAAAGGGTGAAGTATGCTAAGGATCAGAGCTGAGAAAGTCTTGTGCCTGCCTATGTGATACAGCTTTCAGGAGTCAGTGAAACAGCACTTCAGGCTTTCCTTTCCCCCATGTATGAGACCTCACAAAGGAAGTAATAAATAAAACTCACACCACAAAACTCACTCTCCCCAGCTCACATGTGCAGAAGTTTTTGGAATTGCAAAGGCTGGTGCAGTTTAGATTCTCTGTTTCTTAAACTCAAAGGAGCCCAGGCTAATTCACAAGTCAAAAAGCCTGCCCTTTTCACTCTGCCGTAACAACAAAGAGCCTCCTCATTCTCCACAAAGTAAAAGGAATGGAAGAACTTTCCCAAAACAAAAGCTAACACTGCTTTAGACCTAAAAAATAGCATCAGTGGACTTAAAAACACTGGCACATGGGAATAAATTCTCTAGTTCTTCCTTTGTAACTGGACCAGGCAGGAGTACAGGGCATAAAAGCCACTGAAGTATCCCTGCATTTCAGGTTTCTGATGAGGATGTTACTTAATTCAAGATTTACCACCTGGCTCAGGATAACTACCAGCAGGGTGTGCAGTTAGCACTGTCTCATGTACTCTCACAAGTTCAAGTCACTAAGGGTAGGAGGGGAAGCAAAAGAAAGGAACAGTTCTTCATACTTAGGATTTGGCCAATTATGTGCCCACATGCCTGACAGTGAGAAACAGCAGAGGGAATCTGACAGCTTGTCAGTCACAACAGGGAATGATCTCATGGAGTGCTCTATTAACAGGTAGATATGCACACACAGGACCCTTCACCACCATTCTTGGAGACTCCTGAACTGTGTAGCACCACTGTCCCCTCACAGACAGGCTGAGGCTGAAAACAGGCAGCACTTCCCAAGCCTCCAGCCCGCCACCTTACACTTTACTCACACTTAACTTTCACGTCAGTCATCAAACCTTCTTGAAGTAGGAGTCTGGTAAAGAACATCTTTTACAACCCAAATCCCCTCTACTCTTGTGCTCAGGAGGTTGCCAGGGCAGGCAGTGATTGTGCAAATTCCACTCTGAACTACAAACAGGTAGGTAGTACTGGTTGTTTGTACAGCTACAGTGCCATGTCTTTATGTTTAGAGACATCTGCTCTGTTTCTAAAGTGATTTGTAATATCCCTAGATATTTAAGAAGAGCCAAAGCTATGTTTTCTGCAAGGCACACTACAGAAGAAGATGCACACTTCCATGCCCAGCTTGGCAATGCCAACAGAGCTGCAACAATTCCAACCCAGCCAGCCAGCAGAGGCACAAGTGAAGAGGGGAGCAGGCTGTACCCAAGTTTGGACAGCACACGCTCTGAGGTCTGCCTTAACAAAGTAGGAATGAGGAAGAAGGCACAGTGGATGAAAAGAAATGTATTTATCTAAGCTTAAACTCAGGAATTCTGAACTGTGGGCATCCTGCTAAGAGAAAATGATAAGTCAGGAAACTGAGAAGGGTCTGTGTGGAGCCCAAAGAGAATTCAAGTTCCCTACCAAACACTCATGTTTCAACCTTCTTCAAACAGAAAAGACCAGCCTTTTCTTTCCAAACCCAAACATATTCCACATGCAATCAGCAGCAGATTTTAAGGGAAATCTAAAGTGTCAGTATCTATATCTACTTCCATTATACATTTATGCACTATGAGCTATGACCCTAAAAGCTACACCTAAGGACCAGCTCACACTTAGGGTGTTGATCAGGGATTAACAAATGGATAGTAGGAAGCAAATAAATCTCTAGTACAACTGGATAAAAAATGTAATACTTGAGCATTCCTGATATTGTGAAACCAGCAGGAAAAACGTTTCTCAGGGAAGAAGTACAACTTTGGTAGCAATCAATTTTAAAGTGCCTTATGCTTCTTAATTCCTGTGCAAACACTGCTGTAGAGGCAGAAGCACATTTCAAGAATGTTAAGATGCTTAATTACATGATAACACATGACACAGCAAGGAGGTACCAGTTACCTTCTCTGCTACCATACACAGCACAAAGTGATGACAGAAACAATGTTCCTGGCTTTCCTTCAGCACTGCATTTCTCTTCCACCCACTCCTGTGATATACACAGTAAGAGACATCCAGTTTCCCACCATGGTCTGCAACGCTCCCCTGTGAGAACAAAGCATATGAGGAAGGAGGATCTACAGAACAAACCATAGCAGGAAGGAGGTTCTACATCACACAGTGGGTCATTGTGGTCTTCCTGGCCAGACCAGCAAGGATCAGGCTGGCAGGTTCTTCAACCACTGTTTTCGCCTCAAATGCTTTTGACTCAGCAACATCTCACTGAATAAAGGTGGGGAACACAGCTATTTGTAAAAGGGGCTTCTTAGCATAGTTACCAGGCTGTAGAAACCCTGCCATTGCCCATGGCAGTCTGCAAGTGAAGTCCTTCTGGAATGGACTGATCTAGTGACACAAAGATCCAACCCTTCCTTTCCTCTAGTTGCCAAAAGGCCTAATCCCCTGTATCAGGACTTTCTTCCTCCTGGCTGAGCAAAGCTTATACCTCTGTGGAACTGGGAAGTTCCTAGTGCCAGTTGACCACAGCAAGCAGCAGCAGGAGTGAAGCTGGTCACTTCTTGTGCAAGAGAGTCAAGATTTCAAGCCCATTTTTTCCATCATCTGTTCATACACCGTCCATGCCATTGCTGCCATGAGAGTGCGTCTGAGGGCACGGGGTACACCGCCTCGGAAAAAGCCTGCCAACCCAAAGTCCTGCAACGGGAGAGAATCACACAGCAATCCATCACAACCTGCCTCTAGTGTTTTCATTTTTCACTGTGTATTACACAGAACAGCACACGATTCAGCTCAGATACAGAATCATTTCTGAAAGACTCAGTAGCATTGAATGGTGAGGAAGAACCTGTAGCACTGTACAACTGCAGGGCCTACCCAAGAAAGCAGAAAGAGCAGTGAGTGAAGAAGAGAATGCCAGGATGGAGACAACGGATGGGGAAAACCACACTCAAGCCCAACAAAGAGAAGCTGAGAGTGTAAGAGTTTCAAAACACTTCAGGAAAATGAATTCTTTGGTTTACCTGCTCTGATAAAAGCTGAGATCTGCGAGCACTGAAGTGAAAAAGCATTCTGATGAGAGAAAAACGTAGCATGCACAAAAAAACCCATGCACAAATAAACAGATTTCAGTTAAGGAGTAGAGTTCAATACGGAAGCAGAGGAAACCTGCCAAAGCCTTGCCCTTCTGAGGGCAGGAAGGGAAAGGTGGGCTTTGACTCCATCTCCATCCCATTCCTGAATACACTCTTTTAGTGTCCAAAGGGCAAAGAATTGTTTTGTACCTGGCTTGTATCTGAAACCAGCCCTTCACAATGAAGAAACCCTTTGCCCCAGTGTGGTAACTACAGATGTGCCTACACTGATAAACCAAGCACAGCTGCTTCAAGCATACATACTAAGCTAAGCTGAAATGAAGTTACAATGAAATAAGCTAAGAGCTTTCCATCACTATCAGTGTAAGAATCAGTATGTAGCAGACAGGACTGAAGTGAAATCATTCACCAGCCTGAAAACATGAAGCAGGTCTGTGTGGAGAGATGCTTCCTGGAATACGCCCACCTTTGTGCTCCAGTACTATGAGCCTGCTCTCCAATTCCAATTTTTTGTGAAAACAGACAGAGGGCTGAGGAATGATAAAATAATCAGGGAGCAAATTCACTGCGTTGTAATAAATTCAAGAGGAGCACATCATCACAATGGCCCCTCTAATTACCAGGAAATGCAAGGAATGGGCTGAAGTTTCTGACTGCTTTCAGAGCATCAACTGGAGTACCTTCCACTTAAGACTGAACAGGTCTGCACATAAACAAGAGATTCAGCCTCAGACTCCCACAGCATGACCCACTTCAGGTTCTTAAGCTGACAGTGATTAGCCTGACTGCAAGAGCATATCAGGCACATTTGTTCACCTCCTTTAAAAGGCAACAGCTTTCTTGCAATAGCTGTGCCTCGTGAAAGGAGATCACCAGTGAGGCTGAGGGGCACATGAGAAGGGCTTCACCTCACCTTGTAGATGAAGGCAATGGCCTGGCTTGTCCTGCGGTACTTCTGTGGGGATAGCTGCATGTGTGTTTTGATGACATCAGCAGGCTGCGTTGCCAGCGAGGCCAAGATTCCCGCAAAGATCCCACAGCCAAAATTCAGCAAGGGCATGAGCATTGGATCCAGCTCGTCTGCAACAGAGCAAAGGGAATGCACTCAGACACGAAACAGGCCAGGAACACTCATGCTGCGTGACAAAGTGAAAAGCTACCAAATGATTAAAATCAGCATCAGAGTCAAAGGGAAGTTAAAATCCATGCAGGGTAGAGAAGCCTTTCAAGGGGAAAAGTGGCTACGAGTGTAAAGTTAGCACTATTAAAAAGCCTCACTTGCTGGGGAGCTGAATTTCAGTTACTCAGAAAAGGAAAGATTGTGCAGGGTGTTGCCCCAGCCAATTCTAACATCACAGAAGCTCTGGTTTAGTCGAAACTGATCAGTATACAAGATAACCAGCACTCAAGACATCCTCCCTTTCAACTGTTCCCTAACCCACCTGATGCACCAGTCTGCATAAAGACAATCAATCAATTTAGGGCCAATTTCCATTTTCGAGTTATAGGTCTAGAGTTCTCCAAAATGTGAATGTCCCACCTAAAGCCCTACAGGAGACTAATTACAACCGCTGAGGTAGAGGGCAACAAGCAGAGCATGCAAGTAGGCAACTGCAGGGCAAGATGGTGAGAAGATAAACATTTTCCATTGCAGCCTCCAGTGTTCAGCCTTACCCTGAGGTGTGAGGTTTTTGGTCTGTGTGTAGAACATCAGGTAGATGCCAGAGAAGGGAGCATCCCGCAGTAGTGTGGCAGTGAGCCCGCTGAACATGCCACGAACCCCTTCCGTCTGATAGATGTTCTTCAGAGCTCCATATACACTCCCATAGCCAAATTTTCCACTCTGCAAGGGGAGACAGTCAGTCACTCACACAGGACAAGGAGCCCTATACACAGCCTGAGACCATAGCAGCCAAAAAACCCTGTAGTATGCACCCTGTAGTATGCCCAAGATAGCAGCATAGAGGACAGCCCAAGGCCAAAAGCGAGTTTCACCTACCTTTAAAACAACCCTTCAGGAAGGTAAAATATGAAAAACGCTACACAAACATTCTATACAACTGGAACTTAAAAATCTCAGGGTGAATCCTGTTTCATCTTAACAACTCTTGCCTAAATATCAGTGTATGGCATTTCCTGCACAATGGGATAGCGCAGATGAAATCAGGACTACATCCCTGGCTGTAGCCAAGAGGCAGGAACCTTCTCCAGATAGAGGAATTTCTGTCTCATCGCAAGGAAGGTGTGTGACAAAGTCATACTCACCTCATATCGGGTCTTCACTACAGTCACTGGCAACATGCAAACCCCAGAAACTGCACGTGCAGTGACACCCAGAAGGACAGACTCCAGGGCTGTGGGTGACCGGTCCACTAGAAACTTTTGCTTCATCATGTACAAGGTGCTGAAGTAAATCCCAACCCCAGGAATACATCTTGCAAAGGACTTCAGAGGAAACAGACGCAGGTAAAGAAAGAAAAAGCATATATAAGACAAAATGTACTACAGAACATTGTAAAGACTGTTAAACTTGACAGGAAGCTTGGTAGAAAATGAAAAATCACCGAAGCGAACATGCTGAGGAAAGAAGACAAAGTACAAATCATTTACCCATGGCAGGGGGTTGGAACTGGATGATCTTAAGGTCCTTTCCAACCCAAACCAGTCTGGGATTCTATGATGTATGGCACTGAAAGCCAATTGATTCAGTTTTCTAGGAACAAAATATTCCAAAACAAAATATTAAGTTGGTGCAGTTGCTACCCCACATTTGCAGAAGTATCAAAGTGTTCAGCTGCTGGGGACTCCAAAACCACAAGGACCACCATGACCAAATCCATGGAATTCACAACATTAATTGCTTAAAATAGGATGTAATCTAACACACACATGGTTTCACTCACAACTGTACAAGAGCTGGCTATTTAAATCCTGGCAGCCATAGTTAGTAATAAAAGAGGGTGATGGGTTCAAACTGAAACAGGGGAAGCTCAGGTTAGATCTAAGGAAGAAGTTCTTTACTGTGAGGGTGCCGAGGCGCTGGCACAGGGTACCCAGAGAAATGGTGAATGCCCCATCCCTGGCAGTGCTCAAGGCAAGGCTGACCAGAGCCTTGGGTGACATGGTCTAGTGTGAGATGTCCCTGCCCATGGCAGGGGGTTGGAACTGGATGATCTTAAGGTCTTTTCCAACCCAAGCTATTCTAGGATTCTATGAAGCAATAGGTTTATTTATCTACTTATTTTTAGAAGTCAGAATTAAAACAGCCACTTACTGGAGAGACTCCTTTCCAGAGCCCCAGAAGACTCTCAGTACGAACAACCCTGAAGAGCAGTGTTACCATCCCAGCACGGCTGGACCTGAAAGGAAGACAAGAACTGCAGAGGTGACCTGCTTCTGCACTGTGGCAGATGTACTCCACAGCCACTCCCTTTCACTCGTACCTCTGTGCACCACCCCAGCACCTCTGAGGTGCTCTTCCTCAATTCAGCCTACTTTTCTTTATATTCTTTCCAGGGCTGCTCCATCCCTTTCTGCTATTTGTAATACATGTCTCTGTCATTAGCACTTTCACTTGCTCACTCCCTTTGTTAGCAGCAGCAGATGTAGTCATACTTGACTACACCAAGCAAATGGGAGTAGCTGCACACCTGGAAATGTTATGTGACAACAGTAGAGGATTTTTCAGGCAGCCATTCCAGCAAACACTGGTCTCTCCAGTGAGAATAGACAAACGTTGAGGTTGCATGTTATCAAGTGTAACCTCATGTTATAAAATGCTCACAAGAGCACCCATTTTCTCTCTTCTGGAGCAAATTATCAATCCTTTATGGTATAAAAATATAGCTCCTATTTCAGAAAGACTCTCAGTATCCAAGTTAAAGCCCTATGAACTCCAAACCCCAGACAGCAAACGAGGTGGAAGCCTATGGTGGAGCACCCCACAGCCCCTGTGCACACACATCCCTGCTTTCTTACCCATTCACAGCAGGCTGCAGAGTTTGCAGGCGAGTTTTCAGCAGGTCCAGGGGTTGGAAGAGGAGTGTGGAGCAAGTCCCACTGATGGAGCCACACACAAAGGCCTTTAAGACTGGATGCATCTGGAAGAGGAAGAAAAGGAGTATTTAATTAAGAATGGCACCAGAAGAAACAGAGCAGCTGGTATTATGCATGTTAAAGGAAAAGAAGACGAGTAAATCCCAGATGCTAAGGACATGGCACAGGAAACTTTTTCAGAGCCTAAGTTTTATTTTTGGTGTTTGGTCTCTCCGCTTTCCCTGGGAGATTGTTCCACAATGTCCTTGCAATTCGGTGGTTGGAAAGAATTTTCTGAATGTCACAAAATCATAGAATCATCCAGGTTGGGAAAAGCCCTTTAAGCTCACCCAGTCCAACCATTCCCCAGCACTGCTAAGGCTACCACTAACCCATGGCACTGAGGCCTCGTCTCCACGCTGTGTGAACACTTGCAGGGACGGTGACTGCAGCCCTGCCCTGGGCAGCCTGGTCCAATGCCTGAGCACCCTCTGGGGAAGGAACTGTTCCTCAGCTCCATCTAAACCTGCCCTGGTGCAGCTTGAGGCCGTTTCCTCTTGTCCTGTCCCTTGTTCCTTGGGAGCAGAGACCGACCCCACCTCACTACAACCTCCTCTCAGGCAGTTGTAGGCAGCGATCAGGTCCCCCCTGAGCCTTCTCTTCTCCACACTGAACCCCCCAGGTCCCTCAGCCGTTCCCCATCACACTTGTGCTCCAGGCCCTGCACCAGCTCCATTGCCCTTCTCTGCCCCCCCCTCCAGCACCTCAATATCTCTCTTGTAGTGAGGGGCCCAGAGATGAACACAGGATTTGAGGTGCAGCCTCACCAGTGTGCAGTGCAGGGGGACAATCACTGCCCTGGCCCTGCTGGCTATTCACCTCTTTTATACACACTGTCAAGTTCAAAACTATTTTAAGTGCCCCTACATCTCTCAGAACACAACCCACTGTAAATATTTCTTCATCTGACCAACCTTTTCTTTGGGCTGAGGTGCCACAGGGGGGTTAGCCAGTGGGAAAGCAATGCTGGGGGCCTGCGGAGTGGGGATCAAGTGATCTTTGATTGGTATTTCAGGATCTCCACATAGATTTCTTTATACTTTCAGTCAAATCTCCATCTGCAACCTCAGGAACAGCAACAGCAGCAATCTCCCAGCCACCATTTGCTAACCATTTGCCATGTAAAAGGAAGTGGGTGCCTCCTTCCCACCACCATAGAGCTCCCTGTGTCTCAGCCCTAATCCCATCCAGCTCTGTTCGGCACTCTGCTGGCAGTGCCTCCAACCCTTCCCAGTGAACACCAAGGCCACACAGTGCCACGGACACTAGTGGGGCTCTCCCTTAAACCTGTCCCAGACACACCCACGCACAGCGTGGCCTGCTTAGCTAGGGCATGGTTTTCCCATCCACACTCACTGCCGCCTCCTGGCACTTCAAACCCCACAGAGAATCACAGAACGGTTTGTGCTGGAAAGGACCTTAAGATCATCCAATTCCAACCCCTGCCACGGACACAAATGCCTCACACCAGACCAGGTTGCTCCAAGCCCCTGTGTCCAACCTGGCCTTGAACACTGCCAGGGATGGGGCAGCCACAGCTTCTCTGGGCACCCTGTGCCAGCGCCTCAGCACCCTCACAGGGAAGAACTTCCTCCTTGCATCCAACCTACATCTCCCCTGTTTAAGAATGGTTTGGGTTGGAAGGTACCCTCAAAGCTCATCCAGTCCAACCCCCTGCAATGAGCAGGGACATCTTCAACCAGATCAGGTTGCCCAGAACCACATCCAGCCTGGCCTGGGATGTCTCCAGGGATGGTTCATCCACCCCCTCTCTGTGCAGCCTGTGCCAGTGTTTTACCACCCCCATTGTACAGAATTCCTTCCTCACATCCAGCCTCAATCTCCCTCTTTTAGTTTAAAACCATCACCCCTCGTCCTGTCGCAACAGGCCCCGCTAAAAACTCTCCCCATCTTTCTTACAGGCCCGCTTAAAGACTGACATTAACGCTGCTTGGTTAATGACGAACGCCAGAACCGGGGCTTGCTGCACGGCGCTTTCCGAGGAGCACGCTGACGGCCGCCTTCAACCGCGGACAGTCGGACGCGGATGAAACCCCTTTCCGGCCCCACATTGGCCCCACAAGGCCCGCTCCCCTCACACCCCCTCGCTGAGGGGAGCCCGGGGGCAGCGGCCCGTTACCGACACCACCTCCACCCGTACCTCAGCCTCTCGCCGCGGCATCCCAGCGCCGCCCCGCAGCCATTGAGCGCGCCGGGACGCACTGACGCAAGCAGCGCCGCTGGCCAATCCGAGCAGCCAACCCGGGGGGCGGGAAGCGCATGCGCCTGAGCTTAACCCTTCGCGCCCCGTAGCCCCGCCACAGGCCGGTGCCGCCTGAGGCGTCGCCGCCATGCCGCCGGGCCTGTGAGGGGCACCGCGGCCATTCGCCTCACCGCACACCGCTGGGCCGGGCTCTTGTCACATCTTTAGCTGTTGTCACGTTCTTTGGCTGTTCAGATACCCAGCGGGCTCTGTGAGGCGCAGGCAGCGGGGTGGTTTATAACGGCGTGGCCTCCGTGTCTTCCCTCAGCCGCCTCGCGGTGGAGATCCCAGTTCATGAACCCGAGCGCGTCCCTGGCGCTGCCTTACCCCCGCGGTGTCTGCTTGGTCTTCCACCTCCTGGGCCTGCAGCAGAGGGGTGAGCTTCCAGAGCATCGAGTCACAGGGTCATGGAATAGTTGGGGTTGGAAGGGACCTTCACGGCAGTGAGGCACTTGTAGACTGGCATCAGCCCTCAGCCCACGGGCCTGAGCTCCATTCCTTATCAGAGGAGCAGAAGGAGGCTGGGAGGAGCGCACAGCAGCTTCCAGGAGCTGCTTTTCTGGGAACCAGCTTGCTGTGCCCTGGCTGAGTGTGGGCCTGCGTATCCCGACACACTCCAGCTGCCGTGGGCTCTTGTTAGAAACGAAGTCGTGAGCACAGCAACAGCCACATGCATGGACCACTTAAGAAAGAGAGAATATACTTCTGTGAGAAAATAACACACAGGCCAGCAAAAGCTCTCCATTAGGGACCCCCTCTTGCCTTCTGCAGGCTCCTCTCTCATTACACAGTTCCCTCCTCCAGGCAGTGATTGTGTTATGTTTCATGAACTGACTGCTGATAACGCATGGAGAAGAGGATCAGCCCAACTCCATCCCTCCTGGTGCTTCTTTCCCTAGCTCTCACATTGGGCCACCACCGGTGACAGCCTGTCTCACCATGGTCGTACCATGGGCTGCATGAGGATCTCTGCTGTGCACCGCCTGCCTCCTTCTGCACTGACCGTGGTGTCTGCACGGGCTGTCTCTCTGTCCTCGTTATTCATTCTTCTCTCCTAGCTGCTGTTACACAGTGGATTTTACCCTTTCTGAACGTGTTAGCCCAGAGGTGCTACAGATACCGCTGTGGCCACTGATGAGTCCATCTTGGAGTCAGCTGGAACTGGCTACTTCCAACATGTGGGCAGCTTCTGGCATCTTCTCATAGAAGCCACCCCTGCAGCGCCCTTGCTATCAAATCTTGCCGCACAAACCCAATACATTATCACTGATAGGGAAACTGGCAGGGAGGTATCTGTAGTTTTGGAAAAGCTCCTTTGGCTGGTGTCCTTTGACATGTTTCTGCTGTGCTGGGTGGGACTGGTTAGGTGCCTGAGCACTGAAGGATATGCTTTGTTCTCAGGACTAATTCTGACTTTAACCATGGCAGTTTACATTTGCCTTCAAAAAGGCACAGTAAAAACACATTTAAATGATTGTGTAAAGGAGTGGTCTTAAGGACTCTAATAAGGCTGACAGACCCACGTGATGTGTTTGAAATGTTTCTGTGTGGAGGTGAGGTTTTGTGTGGAGCTGAGCGTGGTGTGGCTGGATCTTCTCCCTGTATGTCTTTGGCTGGAGAGACAATGGACACTTCTGTTTTCCAAAGCAAAGCAGGGACTGTCACAGTAGCAAACAGTGCACATCCCACAAATGAGCTCTTCCAGCATGAAACCCTGACAGTACCAGCAGCCTCCGGGTTCTTGGCTTGCTGTGGACCTGGAAGAGTTTTGCTCCCTTAAATGAAGCACTCATGCTGCTTCACTGACCTATGGAAAGCACATTGGACCCATACGGATAGTCCTGACCAGCCATAAGATGAGAGCAGTGTTGGGTCAGGATGAGGCCCCAGCAGATGCACTCGTCAGCAGAGGCTGTGGTAACCCAAATCATGCTGCTGTTGTTCCGAGGAGGGGATTTCTGTGACCTGGCTCTGTGCATTTGGGCACTTCAGCCAAGTCAGCAGGAATGCAGACCGATGCAGCAGCACACAGATACGCAGCAGCACGCATGTGCATCAAAGCTGGTGTAGCACAGCAGGAGCTTTGCTTTGCTCAACATTACTTGCTGCCTTTGAGGTAAAAGTATTAACCCAAAATGCATGCCAGCCCACGTGTTACAGTTAAAATTGACGTATTCAGACTAAGGATCTAATTCTCTTTTAATTACCTAAACTGGTTTTTACATCTAGACAGAATACTCAAAGTTATGGGGGTTTTGGTTTGTATTATTTTCTGTTGTGAATCTTTATGGATCCTGTCCTGGGACAGTTAAGAATCTCCATGGTGCTTCGTAACTGGTAGATAATGGTATATAATCAGTGTTTTCAAGAGGCTGAAAATAAAACAGGATTACGATACAATTACTGGGGCAGGAGGGGAGTTTTGTGCATGATAATGCAAGCCTGTTTCTGTGCAGGAGCTTCTTTCAGCCAAGAGAGGTGCAGGACACAAATACTCTTTGTTAACATTTCTTTTACTCCCTTGTTAAACCTTTGGCTGGTTCTGACCTGCAGGCATAGCTGGATGTTACCACAGCAGAAATGGAGTTGTGCTGCTGGCTGGGAGGACTCTTCTGGAAAGGATCAAATCAGAAGCTCCCATCCTCATCCCCAGACTGCATGCAGTGTCTTGAACAAGTGACTTGAAAGCCAGAGATGCTGCCAAGGATTTAATTAGCATTGTCTCCATGTTGCCTTGGGAAGGAGGCTTCAGCATAGTGCCAGAAAAAGCCGGATATGGACAAGTTTCATGCCATTTTGGATCCAGACACTGAGACTGCCATTCTCTCTGCTAAAGTGGAATTTCTGCAGTGCAGAGCTGAAAGATGTGGAAGAATCCACCAGGTCCCACTTCACTCTATTTCCCAAGGGGTCTAGCAACACTGTAAGCGAGCACTTCCTCATATATCCCACTTTTAGCTGGTGTAGTTCAATAGGTGGTCCTTAAACATACCCTTTTGCTCTCTGCAAGTGCTGCAAGGTTTTCACAGTGCAACAAGTGACATTTGTGCAAGACGAGCCCCACTGATGCCACTGCAATGCTCCAGCCTGTCAAGTCCTGTCCAACTAAACATACAGAGCATTATAGGTGGCATCAAAGACTCCATCTTTCTAACAGAGACCCTCTGTAGAAGGGACCCTCTGTTGTGAATAACACCAATAAATCAAAAGAAAACAAGTGTGTATTTTAGATTGAAGCTTGAACATGGCTAACAATTGCTCTGGTCTCTATTTTAAGGTGACATGGTGAAGCCAAAACAAGACTATTTAATATGCCAACATCATCCTGAATCCTCTTTAACATGCATCGTCTCAGCAAAAAGGAAAAGCAAGATCAGGATATAAAGCTAAGTAGCAGATATGAGCAGGACCAATATAACAACTGTGGTGGGTACTTTTATGCAAGTGGGTGAACAGACATGGGGTCCATGGCAGGGGGGATGGAACTAGGTGATCTTAAGGTCCTTTCCAACCCAAACCAGTCTGGGATTCCATGATGGTCTAGCCTCAGCAGCTGGGTCCTTCTTGTGCTCCCAGTTCTTGGGATGACCCTAAAATTTGACACTACCCTCAAGCTTGCACAGATGCAGGAACATGCCTCCTGCTCTCCTGTGCTCTCCGTGCCCTCCAGACACTGACAGGGCAGCAGACTGCTCCCAGGCTTGTCTCTTCAGGAAGGAGAGGAGCTCTGAGGTCTTAATGATGCTGGCTACCCACAGCAACACAGGGCAGGTCCTGTGCAGCCTCTGGATGTGGGTTTCACCTACTTTCTTTGCACAGGAAGGCAGCAGCAGCTCAAAGCAGCTGGGCTGTGAGGAGAAGCTGAGGTTGGGTCCAGCTCAGTGCTCCTGGTGCTGCTGCTGCGATGGAGGAAGGTAGCTGCCTCTGGCAGGAAATCCTGTGGGCTGCAGAAAGCATCTCCTGCCTCCCCACTGGAAGGGTTTGCAACCAGTGCTGGGGCAGCAGAGGGGGGAAAGGTGCCCTTTAGACTCCAGTGAGAACTAGGGAAGTGAAAGGCTTTGCAAACAAGGCTGCACATTTATGTTGCGCTCACACTACAGGTTCACAACCTTTGTGGGGAAGCCCTGGATAGCAGCCTCACTCCAACAGCTACACACAGCAGTGAAACCTCTGAAAAGAGGGACATATATCCACTAATAGATACACTCAGCAGCACCAGTGAAAGGCCGTCCTCTTCCCAGTTTGGACAAATAGGCTCCAGCACATATCCCAAAGTGCTCACAGAAGGGTTGGCTGCAGGGCTGCAGAAATTGTTTCTAACTCTTGTGCTTCAGCTGAGCGAGGTCTGATCTAGAGGGCTCACAGTGTGAATCTGCAGGGGAGATAAGTGGTGCTGTCCACCACCCTTTGGATTTGTCCTGAATTTCTGTGAATCCCTTTCTGAACACCTGAGTGGTTGCAACATACAAACCCCCCTGTTTGTCCAAGGGGGATCTGGCGCGCACTGAAAGGCAGCAGCTGGATTGCTGGTCCTGGATGTGACCCTGCTGCTGGGACTAGAGCCTTTCTCTGTGGTCAGAATTGTTGTTTGTGTTTTGTTCTGCTCTCCTCAAGGAGGACAGCCCAATGTGTGGAAACATTGTAAGGGCAGGAAATGTTCCACTGACATGAAAATAAATGTCTAGAAGAAAAGAGAAATCTATTCTCTGCTTTTTCCTAGGGGAGGAGAAAGAGGGAGGGAGAGATGAGGCAGCTGGAGAGATTGGCAGTTTTGTAGCACTGCCCAGGACAGAAGAAAACACACAAGCTGAAAGAATTAATGATGAAGTAGGTTTCTCAGGTGCAAGTATGGTGCAGTTACACTGCATGCAGTGTCTTTATTACAAAACTTCAAATATAGTGATACCTTGTAGGAAGAAATAGAGCAGGAGTAAAAGCTTCAGAACACCACTGCATTTATCTATCAATACTTATATATATAAAAAAGATACACATATATATGCATGTCTATGTGTGTGTACATATTTGGGTATATAGACACAGGTGTATATATGTTTGTCTATGTACATCTATATGTATAGGTAACCATTCACATATAAATCTCTCGATGATCTTAAGGTCCTTTCCACTCTTAACCATTCTATGATTCTATGAAACCAGTCACTCACAGTTACCAAATTGGAGCAGTAACTCCAGTCGTACACCATCCCCTTGGCAAACAGATCAGGGCTCTGCTGAAAGCAGGAACCACCTTGGCCTGTGGCTTACCAGCAAGCAGGACCACAAGAAGCTTTGGCATATCACTGTTACTGCTCTCTCAGCTCACACTCAGTATTTTTCAACTCTTCATCTTTTTTCTTCATGGTAACTATTTCTCTACTCATCCTTAGGACACTCATTCATTTCCATAAGGGTTTTTCTTTGACAACCACAGTGTAATTTCTGAGCTACAACTTCCAAACCCTTCCAGCCCAGGAGCTGCAGGCCTTGGTAGTGAATGGAGAGCGAGGATCATACCTAGATACTCCTCCACATTGATTACAACAAAACACATGCATATGGCATTTCTCTTTGTTGCCTATCTAATTACTCACCTACTAAGCTCTTTCTGGGCTGGAAGCCTCATTCAGAGCTGTCAACAAAGCCAGGCCCTGGCATGATACCTGAAACATTGACCTTTTCTCCCCAAAGAGTGAGTTTGGGCTCCTGCTGTGAGCCTTGACCCTGCTTACAAAGCCAGTCCACTCTGATGGGATGAAGGAAGGAGCAGCCAAGTGTCCTGAGTTTGGAAACATAGCCAGTTTCTTTCAGTACTGAATCTGAGGTAGGGGAGGACGTGCTTCTAAAGCACCTCTCCATGCTGCTCAGGGAGTGCAGAGGTCTGCTGGTAATTCCATCCTCCCTTTCACAATGCAGGCAGGGCAGAACATGCCGGGGAAAAGGGAGGAAGATGCTAAAGAAAGACACTAAAAATTAAGAACCCCAACTGTGTTAAAAAGCAAGCTGAAGCAGCTGCTTCCACTTTTCCTATCCTAAAAGGCTGACCAAACAGTTCTTCCCTGTGGATGCCCTGCTGGGAGGATTTCTCAGTTTCAGGTCATCTGTTCAGGATGAAAGTTTTTCACCTGTAGCTCTACAAGACAGCACCAACAGAAGATGACTGTGAGGTTGCTGCATGAACAGAGGAGTGCTTGTCCAGTCTGTGCCCACTGTGGTCTTTGCAGAACAACAGAAAACGGGCATATTTTCTGAAAGCTTCATGAAGGTGTTTCTTGAACTTCTCACCCACAAAGGCGTAGATGACTGGATTGAGGCAGCAGTGTACAAAGGAGAGTGCCTCAGCCAGCTCCATGGCGAGGTCTAACCTTTGGCTTGTCTGGCAGTCATCGATGATGTGCATGTTCTTTAGAGAGTCCAGGAAAAGCACAATGTTGACGGGGGTCCAGAAGAGGATGAACACGATGACAACAATAAAAGCCAGTTTAATTGCTCTGTATTTGTTCTGAGTATGGCACTTCTGCAGGTTTTTCAAGATGCTGTGGTAGCAGAAGATGAGAACACCAACGGGGATCAGCCACCCCAGGACATTGACTTCAAAGTTACTGAAAGTCCTCCAGCCATTGCTGCTGTCAGGATAGTGAGGCAGGCACTTAGTCTGGTTATCGTAAGTTGTCTCCTGGAAAAATATCAAGTCTGGTGCTGATGCTAAAACAGCGACTGCCCAAAGGACCAGGCTGGTGATAGCCCCACGAGCAGCTGTCCGAACCCGTAGAGCGTAGACAGACTGGACAATGGCCAGGTACCTGTCGACGCTCATGATGGTTATGAAGAAGGCGCTGCTGTAGAAGCCAATGAAGTAAGCGGAGCTGATGATTTTACACATTGCATTACCAAAAGTCCACTGAGTTGTGATGGAGTACTGAACCAAGAAGGGCAGGGAGAAAACAAAGAGGAGGTCAGAGATGGCGAGGTTCAGCAGATACACATCAGTCATGGCCCTGACGTTCTTGAAAGCTGTTAGGATCCAAACGACCAAAGCATTTCCCACGAGGCCAGTCACAAACAGGAGGGAGTACAGCACCGGAAAAAAGGCAGATGCAAATGCTGGGATATTGTCAAGGTCACAGATGATGTCCAGTTCTGGGTAGTAGAAGTTGTGTTCATAGGCTGCAGAGGAGTTAGATGCTGGGGACATGTAATCCACCTGTCCAAGAACAATGAAGTTCATGAGGCTCAAATACCAAATTACCCTCTTAGTATACATACGAGGCACAAGTCAGCTCACAACGGGCTGCATAGAATCATAGACTGGTTTGGGTTGGAAGGGAGCTTAAAGCTCATCCAGTTCCAACCCCCTGCCATGGGCAGGGACACCTCACACTAGAGCAGCTTGCTCCAAGCCCCTGTGTCCAACCTGGCCTTGAACACTGCCAGGGATGGGGCAGCCACAGCTTCTCTGGGCACCCTGTGCCAGTGCCTCAGCACCCTCACAGGGAAGAGCTTCTGCCTAAGAGCTCATCTCAATCTCCCCTCATTCAGTTTAAAGCCATTCCCCCTTGTCCTGTCACTACCTGCTCTTGCAAAAAGTCCCTCTCCATGAGGACTGTGCTTCATCTATTCTATGATTCTATGATGCAAACAAGGAATAAACATGAGTGATCAGTCCTCCCCTGCCAGGTCCTCTGGCAGCTGAGGTGGTAAACCAGAGGTTACCAGTATTCCTTACCAGCTCCGTGTGGGGTGCCCAGCCCCATGCCTCAGTCCAGGTGGGGCACCAGCACCAGAGACAGGGTGCATCTACAAACCAGAAAACAAATGGGCATGGCCAGGGGGCTGAGAGCCCCTAACGTAGATTTCAGAGTCCTGTTCCGTGTTTCCTTTTGAAAGGAGGAAAGGAGTAGGGCTCAAAGAGGAACTGATGCTCATTTAAAGGCTGTGTTTCCAGTTAGCTGAGTGCCAGAAATAGCATTTTGTGGGACCAGTTCCTGCACAGTTCCAGCAGGCTTTCAGCTGTAAAGGCACCAGCACATACAGGTCACCAGTGGGTGCTGCACATGGCATGTTTCTCCATGCCAGGTGGGATCAGAAGTGGCAGGTCTGATCTGAAGGACACCTTCTCAAAGAGCAGACAGGACTTTCTGCCCTTTCCTCCCTCCTCCCCACCAGAAGCTTTTCCCAGCACAAACTGCTGCTGCCAGCAGCTCCTGCCCACCAAGACCTTCCTCTGCCAACAGGTTTTCCTTTCAAAACCAGTGGCTTTGCTCTGCCAGCAGCTATCAGGATGCACCAGCATCAGCAACATGCCCCTTCTGTGCTCCCTGGCCCCTTGCAGCCCACCCAACAGCAACCACAGCATCCCTGGGCAGCACCTGTGACACCAAACAGGTAAAGATGGGTGACAGCACATCTCCCACCCAGGATGTCCTCCTAGCATTACCCCTGCCCTTAAAGCCACCCTTCCTCCACAAACACAGCATCCTGAGCCAAAGACATTCTCACCCCATGGTTTTTTCTTTTTCTGAGAAGAACAGTCACACTGATTTCTTCTAACCCCCCATCATCCCTACCAGCACTGTGTGTCCCCATAGGCAAAACTGGACCCCTCACAAGTGCTACCAGCCTCAGCTTGCAGGACAGCAGCCCAGCAGGGAGAGACTCACCGACGTGTCCTCAGAGCCCAGCAGGTATGCCAAGTTCCCCTCCATAATCCAGCACTGCGTCTGAAAAAGTGGCAAAGTGATGTCTTTGTATCACAGCTTTTAAGAAGCATACCTTTACCCGTATATGATGACAGCATTTACCTTAGCAAGTCACAGCCAAGGACTTCACTGGAGCAGTGCACAGTCATAAAGTGCCTTTTCCTTTGTGAGATAAGCGTTACATTGAAGATGTGTGAAACCCCAAACCAATGATTTCAGCCTGTCAGTGACAGTCAGAGGAACGGAAACTGCCAGGTATATTTTCTGAATAAGCAGTGTGTTTTCACTTTGAGCATCTCTATGAACGTCAGTGGAAGAGGTTTGCAGCTACCCCCCTGTGCCCATGACGTGCTCCCATCCCACCTCCTGCCCCTGCTCTGCAGTCCCTGTGGCAGGGAGAGAGGAAGCAGTGCTGCCTCTCCTCTGCTCCAGGGATTCTTGGTGAAGAAGCCTGTGGAGGATGGCCCAAGGCTGCCAACAGTCAGCAACTGTAAAGGGCACGATGTTCACATTAACATTTATCCTTGGGAGGCACCTTCACCCTTGCAACCACCCACCCACAGACAAAAGTACCCAAGAGAGCTGATCATAGACTCATGGAATAATTTAGGTTGGAAGAGACCTTTTAACATCAAGCCTAACCATAAACCTAACAACTCCGTATCACCCTTCCTTCCCACGCTGAAGACACTCTCACAGATAACACTGAAGTAAAGCCCTGAACAACTTTACTGGATTTCCACTGGCTCTGCCAAGTGCCTGCTGGTGCCTTATGGCCTCCTTAGTCAGTCCTGTACCTCTCCAAACTGGAGCTGCCAGGCTGCCCAGCACAAGGAACAAGCAGCGCCAGCAGCCCTAAGCCTGCTGTGGAGCTGTGAGACGCAACAGGGAGAGTGGGTCAGCAGCCACCCCGTGGGAGCTGGGGCTGAGGGTGACACTGGGACACTCACCCCACTCCCACCCTGCTCAGGGAGGCGTTTCAGCGAGCTGAGCACAAGAGGAGCAGCATTGGCTGCTGCAGCATCTGCACAGAGCCTGTGGCAGGACATCCTCTGGTGCACACACGGCAGCACAGAGCACGTTCGGAGCCACTGCTGCTCCTGGGACACACAGCACGGGAGGCTTCACAACCCTTCCTGGGGTCAGGCTGCATCCCCAGAGGGACAAATTGACACCAAAGGGCACCTCTGCTTGCAGCAAACCGAGTTCCAGCCCAGGCTGTGCCTATGGGGGCAGGATGAGGGGTCAGCAGGCGTCGGTGATGGCAGTGGCACAGGCTGCTGGCACCTCTTGTGCAGGGGAGAGACATGGTCACACACCAGTGTAGGAGACCCTTGCTGTGCCCTGCATGGCAGCGGAAAGCCCTGTCTGAGGGGCGCCTGGGAACAAGGCAAATTAGGCACGGGCTCTGGAAGGAAGGTGCATTAGGTTTCAGGAGACCTGGCTGAGCCTCTGTCAGCTCTCCAGAGCAGGAGGAAACATTTTCATCCCCAGACGTAACTCCTTATTCTCTCAAAGGACAATTTTTGCATCCCCACCTTTTAAATGAAGGATGACTGTGTCTCCCAGGGGTGGCTGGATCGGCTGGAAAGACACCAGAGCTGAGCTGTCCCCTTGCATCTTTCAGTGACATGAAGGGATGAGGCTCCCTTTGCTGGGTTTTCCTGCAGAAGTCAGGCACAGACATGACTCTATGCAGGGCTGTGTATGTGATCACATACACACACACATGGCCCTCACTACAAGGGAGACATGGAGGTGCTGGAGTGGAGCCAGAGAAGGACAATGGGGCTGGTGCAGGGCCACCTCCCTACAGCCTCCTGCCAGGCAGTTGCAGAGATCAATAAGGTCACCCCTCTTGAAGGCCAGATATTTCTTCACAAAGTGCTTTAGTCCACAAAGCTTGAACTTGCCACAGCCTGAGGAGCAGGAGCAGGAGGAGATGCTGCTGCTGTGGAAACACCACTCGTGTCCCCACATGTGGAAAGAAATAAGGTCTCAGATTTGGAAGGAAACTCAAGAAGGAGGGGGAATAAGAAGAAAAAGGGTTTTCCCCACTCTTTACCCACTGTAACCCTGCACGGCACATCCTTTACTCCTGATTTCCTCCTTTGAAAACCTCCCATACCCCACAGCTGGGAAGGCACCAAAGTCTGTCTTAGCCTTTCCAGGAAAAGTCTTGCTGGTTACAAGAGATGCATTGTCTCTTTTTAACTTGGAGAAACAAAAGATGCTTTTCCCCTTCATGTAAAGACCAGAATGAAAGTACTTGCAGCAGCTTTCTCAGACTTTCTTATCCCTGAGGTGTTTCCTGAGCACCAGAGGGTGAGCAGAGGTCAAAGATGGAGAGCAGAGATATTTCTTGATGTTGCAATTGTTTTTCAGGCGGTGTTGTGTTCATTTCGTACCTATTCATGTTCCACTGCAAGTGCACACCATGATAATGAGCAACACCCTTATCTAGGGTTATCACTATCACTAACAGAAAGCCTCTTTTGTCTCCCTGGGGAGATGTGTTGAGGATGCCTGTGAATCAGCCTGATTTGGTTTCTCTTTATTTGAGGTCCTCCAGTCAAAACCTGTGGGTATTCCTTTTGGCAAACCTCATTTCTTCTGTGCTAGCTTCCAGTTGAACTCTGGGCAGCGCTGGAGGGCAGGGGTTGACTGCTGCCTTTAGGGAAACACAGCTGTAAGAGGAAATGATGAGGTTTAAAGATCTGCTGCTCTGGCCCTTTCCTATTCCCTAACCTTTAAACTTCCTTTTCAGTATGTACCTTTGCTGTTCCTGGCTAATGCCTAACCAGGAATTGGTTCCCTGATTATTTCCACGGGTGCTGACATCACTTGTGCAGCTTGGTTGATGCTGGAAGCTCAGTTTGACCTCTGGTGTATTGCTGTGTGGCTGTTGGGTATGTAACCTTTGCTAGACAAAGCATAATGCCACGAAAAGATATGTAATTATCAGAAATAGCAGAACTCAACTTACACAGGAATATTTGCCTGGCAAGTCACTACACCAGTCAGTGAGCTGAGACAACCTGGAAGATGCTCACCATCCCAAAACCTCCCATCCAGCCCAGCCTGTTTGGATGCGGCATTACTGACTTTGGAGAGAAAGCATTTTAACCTCCCTTGGCATCTGAGGCAGGGGCAGGACCCGGAGGTGTTTTCCAGGACTGTATTCCTGTGTGTGCCAGAGGACTTTGATATTGGTACCTTCCCCAGCTGGACACTGTCTCGGATCCCCATAATAATACATCCCACTGCACATGCCCCAGCCATGCCAATTGGGATGTGTGGCATCCCTGAGCGTAATGCTCGTGTCAGGGGCCAAGAAGGCTCCTTGATTAGTGAACATGCCAATGCTTAAACCTTCATACTCCTCCTGTCCACTGGAAGCCCTGGGCTGCAGAGAGATGTACTCAAAACCTTGTTTACAGGCAAAGAGGAAGCACGTGTGTAGGTAAAGCCAAGAACTGATTGTCAGTGTTACAGCAATCTCAAAGCTCCAATCATCGTCAGTCTAGATCTGCTGGGTGCACAAAAAGGAAGACTACTAATGCAGTTTAAGTTATTCTGCACATGCAGTTTCTATCCCTTTTCATGATGGCACATTCACCCTTCCCTGCTGCTTTGGGTCCTAAGGCTAGTGCTTTTACCCAGGGGGTGGTGTGATGCTGGGAAGGGAGGTGTTGGAGTGAGCTGTCAGCATCTCCAGCCCTTCCCTGTGACCAGTGCAATGGTCCTGCTGATGGGTTTTCTCCCTCTCTCTAGGATCTGCTCAGGGTTGGTTTTGTATGTTTTCTGACATGCTTTGATACCTTCTTCTGCCTTCCCTGGTCTGCAGCCTTGTGTAACACCCAATTTACTATGTGTGGTGCCCCTTACATACATTAGGTACTGTTTTTATTCTGTGTGTTACTGCTAAATGCAGTTTTGCCAGCTCCAGGAAGCATTCTTTTAACTGACCACCAGTGAGTTTCTTATAGCTGCAAGGATATAACCTTGTACCATCCTGTACCTGTACTCCTCTGTGCTGCATCCTGTGTCCCAACTGCTCAGGGGAGCGTACCAGGCTCGGACTTGTATACACTGCACCAAGTCAAAAATACCTCATTCTGCATAGGACAAGGGGAATCAAGGGGGTGGCAGCTTTTACACCCCAAATATGAGGCTCCTCAGGCATCTCTGCTGTGCAAGTCCTGTCCCCTGTAAGCAGTTCTGCCCCTCAGAGTGGCCGCATCCTGCTTCACAGTTTCACAAGGCACCAGCAGGACCGGAGCAGAGCACATTAATACTTTCTCAGCAGAGCCACGAAGCTCAGCCCAGGAAGCTGCCCTGCCAAACTTCACATGTTTCATAGGGTAGGCATCAGCTCTAAAGAGGAAATATACATTTAAACCCAAACAGGCTCCGCTTGAAGAAAACATTGGTTTTCACTGCAGCTATGAATTAAGGTAAGAGACAATTCCACTTGACCTATAATCTGACAGAGCAGGAGGGCAACAAATGGTGTCTGATGTACTTACTTAAGCGAACTCTTCACTGCTTAGTGCTTGGAATCTAAATAATACTTAATTTGGGTAAAGATGATGTGGATAATGCTTACAGACTGTGAAAGTAGAAAGGGAAAAGCTTTTATTAATCGAAGTGACCCAGAGCAGGGAGATTTTACTGTGACGCGTTATTTGTGGCAACATTCACCCTGGCTAGAAGTCTTCAAGGTTAATGCTGGCAGATGGCTAGTGTGCAGCATAGAAAAGACAGAGCAAGAAGATGCAGCCATTCTACTTCATTAGAGGGCTTTTGTTAGATGTCAGAACTCACCAGTGTTGCTTGATTTTAGTTCCAGTCAGTGAACCAATATCCCAAACATCACCGACACTGAAGGACAGCCCGACCCAGAAAGTCTGCTAGAGATGGCAGCAAGTGTCTGATGAGGACAGAGCAGCAAGAGAATGGCAGAAATGAAAAGAACCCCTGAAACCCCAACTTTCTGTATGAGCAAATCACTTAATTTCTCTGTGACTCATATTTCCATGGGAAGGTTTTGTTGTTACAAGGATGGCTGCTGGTTGGGGTGAGGCATTTGGGTAATCCAGTGACGGCAGCCCGTTAAGTGTTTGTGTGATATAAACACAGATCCAGAAACAGAAGTTCTGCTGGGGCAAACCCTGTGTTGATGCAGCCAGACAGTGAATTGGGTGAGAGGATAAAAGACAGGAACTGAAATGAATTCTGAGGGTTTGGGCAGTACAGAAGAAGTCCAAAAGGGAGAGGAAAAGGCTAAAGTTTGGCAAAGGAGAACACTTACGACTTAACTCTGAGAGTAGATCACAGAGTAAATGTGATCTTCCCAGAAAGGGGCTGTCAACTCCAGAACCTAAATCGCATCTGGACATAGTCAAGAAGGAGTAATGCTCTTTAAAATAACAGAGAAGGTGATCTAAGAGATGCCCCATTTGTAGACAGCCTTCTCAGTTTTCTGAAGGATGCTGAAGCAATATCAGCTTATTAATAACAAAAAAGGGGGGGGGGGGGGGGCAGGAAGTAAATAGGCCCCACAATAAATGTGGTGAGAGGATGGGGCGAGTGGTAACCATAAACAAGCACAAGCAGTGCACATAGCTACAAAAAAAATCATCTGTTTTCACTGTCCCCTCAACAGAGAAAACAAAAGGAATTTGAATGCTGCTTAAGAAGGACAGGCCTGGGAAAAAGGACTCCTGAGGAACAGCAGGTAAGAGAAAACACCACCATAATGCTCAGCAACAGGTATAAAATTACACAGTGTCACGAGTGACTGTGCGGGCAGGAAAGGCAAAAGGGAACTAACTACAGGACATACCTGTGGAGCAGATTTCCCAAGAAAACCCTGACCCTGGCAATCACCGTCCAGTCAAATGACAACCCCAAACCCCAGTGCCCTGCGGGCAGCTCCGTGCCCCAGCAGCTGAGTTAAAGTGCTCCCCAGCTTCCGTGAGGACAAATACAACTGCTGCTCTCCAACAGGATTCTCGCAGCGTTCACCTGGTTCCCTGTCTCCTGGCTGGTCTCTGCCTGGAAACCAGCTCAGGTTGCAGAGGCTTTGCAGAGGACCCTGAGGTCTGGCCACAGAATCATGACCCTGAGAGTCACGGATGAAAACTTCAGAAGCATTTCAGTGATTTCTGAACCTCAGTTTTAAGACCTGGAGAAAACACAGGAGTCTGAATCATACTGTCAGGCCATGGCTCCTAAATGCCCAAGTCATTTCTGAAATGGGTTTTTAAGGCTCTGACCTCCGTAGGGCCAGATTACTAAAGGTACTTTGATTGCCAGAGGTTCAGGCTAATGCCCTGTGGGACTTTTCAGAAGCCCCCCAGTATTTAGCTCCCTTTCAGAAGAATGCCCCATCCCTGGCAGTGTTCAAGGCCAGGCTGGACAGGGCTTGGAGCAGTCTGGTCTAGTGTGAGGTGTCCCTGCCCATGACAGGGGATTAGAACTGGATGAGCTTTAAGGCCCTCTCCAACCCAAACCAATCTGGGATTCTGTGAGTCTATGATTGGTATCAATAATAGCTCCCCAGGAAGGTGCCTTGATGTGACTATTGGCATGGTCACTTGCTCAAAAGCCTTGGTTATGCCCTGAAAGTGGAGCCATGACAAAATCAGAGTATACGCACTTTTGATGTGATGGGTTAAGCTGAAACTTGTGCCCTGGTTACTTGCTGCCCTGCAGTTATCTCCAGGTTAGCATGGAGCATCTCTAAGAAAGCACTTTGCAATGCTATAAAGCCTTAGGGAAAGGTGAAAAAGATCCTCTCCCACCCTCCATGATCCAAGACTGATCTTTTCAAGTGTATTTTTTTACCCCAAACTCTTGGTTTAAGGTTGTAGATTTTATTCCACAGCTGGTGGAGTCTGCTTCCAATTCAGTTTGTGATGCTGGTGTCAAAACTGTAGACCTGGTCCAGGGAAGGGGCATTTTTTAGATCTCTTTCACCTAAATGCCTTTCTAAAGGGACCACAGACCTCTGCAAGATTCAGACTTGCATTTATCTTAATCAGCAGTGGTTTGATCGGCTTCCATTGCTGGGTGCTTTATTTAGGACACCTTGAATGCCCTAATTTTCAGAAAGCCTCAGCATCACGCTTCTGCACCTTGAATCCACCTTGAGCTGGAAACTGTAATAATGAAGCAGCCCACAGCACTATTCTCTCTCAAAGAGCTCACCCTCAAAGTCCAGGGCCAAGTCTCCATAAATGAAATCAACCAAAGCAGTAATTGATTATTAAGAATAACTCTGGAAATGGCCTGGCTGATGTGAGAATAAATCACAGAATTAAAAAGAAATACCAAAGAAAGGCATTTTCTCACCTTAAAGTCAGCAGGGAAGGACTGGAGGACCAGGGAGCAAGGATGCATCTGGGATGACACCACACACCCACTTGGAAGCGATGGAGGAATGATAAAAGAACTGGTTAGAAGGTGGCAAAACATGCAGGGTTTAACAGAGGCCGTACAGACTGGCTGTTTGATAGCAACATCCCTGTCCCCAAACAGGGGACCAAAACAGAGTCGTTGCTGAGTGTGCCCCAATAGCCCATTTGCTCTGCCTCCCTGCCTATCAGGGGCTGTAGGATTGGGCTCCTCCACTGTGTCTGGCCTAAAGCCATATCCCAGACTGGTATTTTCTCTTGTGGAGGTTCTCAGGCATACAAAAACCTTCTTTTTGTACTCGAAGTCTGTTCCAGTGATTTGCCTTTCACTGTTAAAATGTGTATCTGATTTTCAGCTTGCAAGTCTCTGGTTTGAATTTCCATGCGTCAGTTTATGGTATAGCTAATCCCACTACATGAGCAAGGCTATGAAATCAAGTGTATGCCTACAGCCCCAGTCCCAGGCTCTGCAGTGGTAAAGCCACTTCCCATTTAGCACGCCTTTAAACATCTGTAAGCACCCGAGGGTTGCATCAGCTTTTCTTACTGCAACATCTGGCTGAGGGCTGGCTTTCAGACTGCCCATAGCAGCAGCCAGGTTTCCCAGTAGATGTTCTCCCACTCCTGAGACACGGTCTGTGGTGTTTAACTCCCTAGCGTATCGCTTCAGCTGCATTAAAGCCAATGTGAATCATCCAGGAAGCCCCAGATTATTCAGGTCTGTCTGAATTACTGTCTAATTCTCTAACTCGTTCCTCACTTCCCCTACCAGCTGTGACTCCCAGTCAGATTTCAGACCAAGGGTGAAAATACAAGTCTGGGGCTTTCAATTCATTATTCCCACAGACCTTTTATAAGCAATACTCTGTGTTTGGTGAGACATCCTCCACAGTTGTTTGGCTTTTGAGCTCTGACAGTTAACCATCCTGAATCCCATTGTAACGTGTTGCTGGGCTTGTGCTGCATTGGTCTGGAGAGCTGTGTCCATCAACTATTCTATGTTTCTATGAAATAAGCAGTCAGTGCAAGTCAAAGCTTCAACTCTTCTGCACAGTACCCTTTATCAACCCTGTAATTGCATCAGATGTCCAGACAAAAGCTTCTCTAAGCCACCCACACTGGCATCAGCTACGCTCCCCCTCTTCGCTGTTCAGATTTCATTTTGACCAGGTTGAAGGTTGCTGCTTCACCTTGCTCCCTGCTTCCAAAGGTCAGAATCATGTTATAGAATCCCAGAATGGTTTGGGTTGGAAACGACCTTAAGATCATCCAGTTCCAACCTCCTGCCATGGGGCAGGAACACCTCACACTAGCCCATGTTGCCCAAGGCTCTGTCCAACCTGGCCTTGAACACTGCCAGGGATGGAGCATTCACCACTTTTCCAGGCAACCTGTGCCAGCACCAGCACCTCATCCTCGTGGCCTCCTCTGGACTTGCTCCCACAGCTCCATGTCCTTCTTACGTCAGCTGCTTCCAGCACCTCTAGAGGTGGAACAGGAGATTATCTCCTCAATTCAGGACTGAATAAAAGACTGAGATATAAATTTAAAGTAACTGCAGCTGCTGTGCTGCTTTTGACCCCAGCTATCTAACAGGATCCCAAACAGCTCCAGAGACTGTCCTGTAACAACAGAACCGCCCAGCTCTGAAAGATGAGCTAAGTGTATTACAGGAACCAGTTGGGTGTAGGACTAGAAACTGGGCCCCATCACACATTGCTGTAAGTAAGCCCAAGTTTTGTTTTGGGTATCATACAAATGGTGGTTAGAGATGTCCGCAGCAGGCTGGTGGTTGCGTGGTAGCTGCTTGGTGCCAGGCTGCTGAAGCATTTCAGCCAGAGTGCTGTTAAGACTTGCATCTCTCCTGTTGGTTTCCATCTAGTTCTGGTTAATTCTCTTAAAGCTCTTTCTTTTGTGTGTTAGAAGAGCCAGCGGCAGCTAAACCATGTCATTTGGATGTACCCAAGGACACCCCTATGGTGTGGCTGAGACCCCCCGGCTGGCCAGAAGCAGATGGGTGTAGTCACAAATGCACAAAAGCAACACGTTTATATTTGGGTAGGGTGGTGACAGCTCACATCTAAGGGTGAGAAAGGCAGATGTGCCCATTGGGTTTCATAGGGCTTCCCACAAAGCCTCCCATCTTCCCTGGGCCGGTGAATCATTGGTGTGCAGCTTTGCCTTCATGAGAGAAGCGCACAACTCAGCCTCCCCCAGAAGTGCTGACTAAGGTGTGAAAATCCTCCTGAGCCTCAAATGCTTCTGTCAGCACATTGTGCAAGGCTGAAGCGTGACGCTCTGCTTTTGGTTATTGTTTGTTACCTTCCCACTGGGGGACAGCACCAGGCAGAGGTGAAGTGCCCATGAACCCCCCTTCTTGGCCGTAACGTGGCACTTGGCTGAAGCACCAGGGGTGGTAACTGGAAAGCTCAGATGCATAAAGGATTTGGCTCTTGTCACCCAGAGTGATGCCAGTGCTAGTTTTGAAGGCTGAAATGCACCTTCTGTTGCTTAGAGGAGTTTGTGGCTCTCTCCTAATTTCACTTCCCTATGTATTACATATAGTGCACGTGGTTGTTTGGAACAGCTGGGTTGAGAAACAGGGGGTTTGGGTCCTGCAGGCTATTGTCTTTGAGACAGCTATAAACATGATGAAGGGCAGAAGTGTTTGTGGGGAGCAGGGTGTAAAACTGCTGGGGAAGTCTGGACAGAGAGAGCAAAGCGGTTGAGCAGTTCCATGAGAAGCAGAAGTGAATCTACTATTTCCTGTACTCAGCAAGGGAAAACATCTGGTGGAGGGACCTCACAGCCCTGCAGTCTTCTTCAGCATCCTCTGTGCTCTTCAGATCACTTCATACCCCAGATTGTGACCATTTTGTGCCAGCAGTTTTGGATGCCAATGTCATTTATGTGAGTGTAGCTCTTGCTTGCCCCTGGCCACGCCACGCAGCATCTCACCCTTCCTGCTGGCATAGGTACCACGAGCTTTGCAACCACCCATCCAGGGTAAAGGAAATGATTTGTTACTGTAGAAATAAATGATCCCCATCAGTGAGCTAGAGGAGATTACCTGACTGAAAAGGTACTTCAGGAAAGACCAGAGCCCAGGTGACATTCCTCTTTACTTCAGTAAGACCAGGAGTTCCTCCTGCACCTCCATGTAAATGGTGTCCCATGAAGAAGGTGGCCATTCCTGCACCCAGCTTTCTCTGCAGGCAGTGCCAGTGGGTGCAGCCTGCGCAGGAGTCTGCCAGACCTGAGGGCTACCCCATGGTGGGAGCTGCATTTCCTTACTCATGTGAAACCCTCCCTGTGCTCAGGAGAGCGCAGTGGTTTGTGTGGGCACATATGGAAACCTCCAGAGGAACAAGCTGCCTTTCTAGGCATGAATTAAGGGAGCAAGCATCAGAAAGACCAGTGCAGCTACTGGTTCTCAGAGAGGAGACTAAACCATTGTGTGCTCTTCCTCTCCAGGTCAGGGATTTCACCCAGCACACACGGTCTAGGCAAGCATCACCGAGCAACCCTCTCTGGATGCTAATGGGATACAAGCAGGCATCAATCAGTTGTTACCTCTGTGCACAGTGGGACTTCTGCTCATCACACACACATGGAAACAGGAGCATACAGAGCAGAGAAGAAGCTGGGGCACTTTGCAGAAACATTGTGGCCTCTGCCTGGCTTTGTTTCAGAGTCATGAAGTTAGGACGGGACTTCTGAAGGTCTCTTGTCCAAATGCATGCTCAGAACAGGGCCAGCTGAGTTACAAGTACCTCCAGGGATGGAGAGCCCACAGCCTCCATGAAGCCCTGTGGAGGTGTTTGTTAAAATGACTTTCCATATAGTGAGTAACAATTTCCCATGGCCATTGCCTCTTACTCCTCTGAGAGAAGTTGCCTGCTTTGCATGTACACCTTGCCATTAGATTCCCCTTTGAGATGCCTCTTGTTGGGGCTGATCAAACCCACTTCTCAGCATCTTCTCATGCACCAGACCCAGTCATTTCGGTAGCCCTCAGCTACTGCACACTGGTACCTCAGTGAAGAACCAGCTGTGGAGCACATCAGCCCACAGAGGAAGATGGAGGCTCTGGTGCAGTCACAGCTCAGTGGCAGAGCTGGGTAGGCTGCTGTAGTGACTTATGTTCCACACAAGAGACTTGGTGTACCCTGACAAGTCTTTCCATTTTAAAGGCACCTTCTGCCCACATTCCAGCTCAGGAAAGGAGAAAGAAAACATCTCATTATAAGAGGAAATGGCCTCAAGCTGCACCAGGGCAGGTTTAGATGGAGCTGAGGAACAATTCCTGCCCCAGAGGGTGCTCAGGCATTGGAACAGGCTGCCCAGGGCAGGGCTGCAGTCACCGTCCCTGCAAGTGTTCACACAGCGTGGAGATGAGGCCTCAGTGCCATGGGTTAGTGGTGGCCTTGGAGTGCTGGGAACGGTTGGAATGGGTGAGCTTAAAGGGCTTTTCCAGTCTGGTTGGTTCTAGTATGGGAAGGTAGAACATGATGGCCATTGGGATTATATGCGATCTGTCCTGCTCATTTCTGTATCCCTCAGCAGGGTAAAGTAAAGAGATAAGGAACCTGACACATACCTCTGTAGGCACCTCTAATCTCACAGTATCTTGCCTGCAATTGCTGTCAGCTTCTGCCCCAGCACCTAGGCATTTCCTGCGCATCCCATCTAATTCTGCTGGTCAGATACCACATCTCCAGAAGCTGGAGAATTAAACTGGGCTGCAAGCAAGGCCAGGCTGTGCATTCAGACTCAGCTCCCAGTTCTAGTGGGCAGGCACTGCAAGAGGTGCTGAGCCCATGGGTGTGCCTGCTTGCTGCAAACTGCCTTCCCGTGCCATGCCCATGCTCTGAAACTGCCAGCGCTGAGACAGCCCTTCTTGTAGCCCACTTTTCCTGTTCATAACCACAAAGATTGTTTTCTAGTGACTGTGGGCACTTCTCATTTCAATGCTTGGGAGACACTGAGGCTTTGAACTTTCAGAAGAAGAAGGTACTTTCAGATGGAGAACCTGCATTTCCAACTAGCACAGAAAACCCATCTTTGAGAAATGACTGCAAAATAAGAGGCCAGAAATTCATGGCCCACACCACAAAGGGTGCTCTGGCAATGAAGCCTTAAGAGAAAATACCAATGGTCACAGTAGCCACCCATGGGAGAGTTTGTTGTTGTTACCACTACATCAAATGAAACTTCTTGGGCAAGGACTGTCTCACACCTCACGACATCTCTATTTCATGCTTAGTCACACAAGGCTTATTTTAAGCAGAGGCTATAAAAACTATTGCTGTCAGTGAAGAGTGGATGTGCTGGGATTCCAGCCACTTCACTCCAAGTGCTAGGAGTGGGAGCAGTTACACACCATCGGCGTCTACCACTGAGTAACGTGCCCATGCTCTCCTTATAGTCAAAAGGAGCTTCAGCAACACGGTCAGCAGAGTCTGGAAAGCAGCCTGCCTTGTCTTAAAGCACATTTGGCCTCACACTGCTCTTCACTGGCTCTATTGACCACATCTCCCACTGACAGGAGATGTAAACGTCTGATTTGAGGCAGCTTATGGTCACTGAACCAAGTCCCTTCCTTACAGCCAATGGGGGTTCCTGTAAGAAGACAGTGACACTGTGACCAAGGGGTAGTTATCAGTTGCAGGTTTTTTCCTCGCTGACCTTTCCTTCCAGATCCAGCTTTAACAGGCTGGTTTGGCCATGTTGTCATCTCCCTGGATCTCCCTCTCTGACGTTATCCTCTTTTCCCTTTTCATGTAGCCAGAAGATTCAGCATGACGGAAGCATTCACAGGAACAACGGCCGAATACGCTTACGACGAACAAGCTTTTTCCTGCAATAAGACTGACATCCAAGAGTTTGGGAAAATATTCCTGCCAATATTCTACATTGCAGTGTTTGCTCTCGGCCTCACAGGGAACCTCATGGTGGTTTTTGCCATTGTGAAAGAAGGCAGCAAGAAAAGCATCACTGACATCTATCTACTGAACTTGACTATCTCGGACCTTCTCTTCGTGATCTCCCTCCCCTTCTGGGCCTCCAACACGGTGCGTGGATGGACCCTCGGGACTGTTCCATGCACGGCTGTTTCCTCACTGTATTACATTGGTTTCTTTGGGGGCATGTTCTTTATCACCGTTATCAGTATTGACAGGTACTTGGCCATTGTCCGGGCGACGTATTCTCTGCAATTCAGAACAGTGAAGCATGGCTTCCTTATAAGCTGTGCAGTGTGGGCAATAGCTCTTCTAGTTTCAGTGCCACAGTTTGTGTTCTCCCAGCTGGTAGAAAACGACTGCATTTCTATCTACCCCCAGGAGCTGGAGAACATCTGGCCAGTGTTCTGCAATGTGGAGCTGAACACCCTTGGGTTTTTCATCCCGGTCTGTATCATTTGCTATTGCTACTGTGGGATCATCAGAACCCTGCTGTCCTGCAAGAACCAGAAAAAAGCACGGGCTGTAAAGCTGGTCTTGGTCGTGGTGGTGGTGTTTTTTCTGTTTTGGTCCCCCTACAACGTCCTGATTTTTCTAGAGACTTTAAGGCACTATGAGGTATTCACAAGTTGCAACCAAATTAAATCCCTGGACTACGCAATGCACCTGACTGAAACCATCGCGTTCAGCCACTGCTGTCTCAATCCTTTTATCTATGCCTTTGCTGGGGAAAAATTCAGGAAATACCTTCATCGTGTCTGCTTAAAGTACTGCCCATTCCTGTGCTTCTGTGGGCCCTGCAGCCGCTACCAGCTCACCCCTTCCGCCAGCTATGCAGAAAGCACTGTCAACAGCAACATAACCCTCAACACCAGCGACCAGGATGGCTCTGTCTTCGTCTGAAAGGCTCTGTGGAGAAGACATGTGTGTGAATACATCATCTGCAGGGCCAGCCACCTCTGAGAGCTGTCATTACCCGTATGAAGAGGCTCAACGGCTGCACTGAATCACTGACGTGCCTCTTGTTAAGCATTAGAAGTTCTAAACCAGTGAAGATTTTAAGAACCAAAGCAGTACAACATGTCAAGGCTGAATGTGGAATTGAATTGAGAGAGAGCAAGGGGGAAGGTGGAGCAAAAGCAGCACTCTTGGCCTGGCGTGGGAGTTGGAGAAGAATTTAAGGAGAGGGAAGCTGTTGAGTAGTTTCATCATTAAAACTTGCACATGTGCCGGTGTATGAACATGGGGTACAAATGTACATAGACCTCAACTCAGTTTTTGAGGGACTGGAGATCTGTTTAATGAATGGTAGCTGACTGTTAGCAAGGGTAATGGTTTTGATATTTAAGGGGTATATTTTTGATGCTATATCTTCATATAGAAGTGATTTTGGGGTATTGGTTGCAATAAATGTTTTACCTGTGCTTTCATACCTAATAAAATCCTACTGTTAAAACACCCCCGAGTTATTTCTCAACACACAGTTACTGCCAGCAATGCACTTGGTGTTTGTAGCATGCACTAACCAGAGCAAAGACCATGCTTAAGGATTTAGGTCCAGACCTGGGGCTGATCCAGGAAAAGGTACGGGTTTGGGAATCATTGTGCTTAGTCCAAGTACATCACAATCAGGCTGCGAATTGCTTGGAGAGGGTGGTAAGCACATGCTTCATGCCCATACTCTGTTTGCCACCCATTGTAAACACCAGCTGTGTCTATCCCATCATACAAGAGCTTTCAGGACAAAATAACCACTTGCCCATGCTGTTTAACACAACCTTCCTCAACCTTTGGGGCCTCCCCTCCCATAGCTGATTTCCCCAGGGAAACCTGCAGCTGTACCCGGATGAAACCCATCCCAGAGGACACATTTACCTTGTGCACTCTGCATCCTGCAAACATCCGTTCTACTCTTGCAATCAGACAAGTGAGAGACCTTCTGCAGGGCCCTCCTGCCATCATCTGCTGCAAGAGGTTTGCATTGGCGCTGTGGGGTGGAGGTAAGGGAATGGACCGCAGCCACCTGCGAAGCTGAGGTCATCTTACAAGGAAAAATCAAGGACTGATCTCCCAAAACAAGTCCATGCCAGTGGGACCCTCTCTGTAGACACTGATGGAAGTGGGAGTATGGCAAACCTGCAGAACCCCCCTCGCTTTCCAACTAGCACAAAAGAGTTGTTCTCTGCTATCAGTGGGAGGAGTAAGCCCTTTTTCCTACCACTTGTTTCTAAGAAGGCTGGAGGAGAGCCTTTCCATGGAGACATTTTCCATGTGCAAAAGAATCACAGAATGGTTTGGGTTGGAAAGGATCATCCAGTTCCAACCCCCTCACACTAAACTGTGTCACTCAAGGCCCCGTCTAACCTTGAACACTGCCAGGGATGGGGCAGCCACGGCTTCTCTGGGCACCCTGTGCCAGCGCCTCAGCACCCTCACAGGGAAGAACTTCTGCCTTAGATCTACAGTAACTACACATATATGAAATCATCCACCCTGGGCTACTGCACACCCAGCTCACTCTACAGGATCACAGCCCCTTTCATAAAACACCCTTTATTAGGTGTAAATACATTCTATGTGCTCAACTTTAAAACCAGAAGCTAGCAGTGCACTTCCAGATACCAGACTTACCGTCTAAGATGAAATGCAGCGTAAGTGTCACTTGAAATCAGATTCCACTTCAAAGTCCAGCCTGCCCAAGCGGGATCAGCCAATCCCCTCTGTCCCCACCCCCAGGCAAGTGGCATTGGAAGTAAATGGGATTTTTACAGTGTTTTTTAAAGAAATGCTAAGATGTGCAGAAAGAAAGAAAGAGGAAGATGCTCCGAGACTAAACAAGAAGTCGTGTCTGCACAAAATCAGCCTGGAGAGGGTGGGTTGCCAAGCTGAGCAATGCAGTCTCACTTGGCTTGTTTGAATTCACTTTTCTATTCCAGACAACAGGGAGTTACTGAGTGGGAGGAGTAACAGGCACATTTGGATATGATCCATGTCCAGCATGAAGCCTCTCTGACAGCTCTCTAAGGAGGACAGCACTTTCCTGCCTATCCCAGTGGTTTCCCAGCAATCCGGCCCATCCCCAGCCCAGGGCATCCCAGCACACATAACTTCCAGATCCACCTGCGCAATGCAGTGCTCCTGTGAGCCCAATGACTGTCAGCCTAAGATCATCACTGCTTATGCCATGTATTTGCAAGTTATTATCATGAATGTGTTATTTATGTGCTCAGTATTTGAGTGTTGGCATGGGATTAAAAGCTTCAGGGTGGCTTCTTGGCATTGGGTTCTGCAGCAAACAGCTTGTCCGTGCAGATGCCTCCTCATAGCAGAAGTGGTAAATCAAAGAAAACCCACTGAAAACCAAACCATTTTCCTTCTGTTTGCATCAGCACTAAGAGTTTCCTTGTAATTGTCCCTTAGAAACCCTTCAGCCTCCAGGAAACATCCGGTGCTCTGAGGGCAACCAGTAACCAGCTTTACCAGGACTGGGCTGAGCTGCAGCTGAAGGCTTTGCTGCTCTTCACTGTACTGCAGCATGCCAGGGTGTATGGGGAGCCACAGCCCCACAGCTCCTGCCCATGCCGTGCCTCTGCTGTGCTGTGTGACAGCAAATACTGTGTGGTCTCCTGTGTTTCTGCTTATCTTATACCTCGAGGTGTTCCTTGCACCATTTGAGCCTGACTGAAAGCCCACTGGTGTCTCTTTAAGTCCCTCCACTGGACTTCCAGTTAAGTACAGCCTTTACTTAAAGATGCTGCTTCCCTTTCAAAGCCTCTGCAGTGGGAAGCTGGTGCTTTCTAACTGCCCAGCCAGTTTACAGCATACACTTTCCTATGTACAGCACTAAGGCTGCATACATCCTTAGACTGGATCAGCGCATCCCCGAGGATCATCCAGTCCCTATCCATCACATATGAGAAAGGAAACCAGTCTCTCAGTACAGGATAACCCCTTTTGATCTACCATAAACTACAGATAGACTCTTGCTTACTTGGCAAGTCACAGTTTACACATGAAAATGCACACACAGAAGCACACTTGGTATAATCTATCCATTGAATAGCATCTGCTTGTGCAAAAAGGTCAGGAAACCTCTGGATTTGGGGGAACTGGGGGGGGGGGGATGGGGACTGGGCTTTGTGGTTTTGGGGGTGGTGAGTTATCTTTGCATCTTATTTTGCCATTGCAATCAACGCTTCCTGTTTGAGAATCACACTGACACGTAACATAAATCTTTTAGCAGCAGGGTTACCTTTTGAGGAACAGATAAAACCTGAATCCTCATCTACTTATAAATAGAATGAATAAGGCACATATTTAGCCAGACTGCTTGCAGTGAGATAAAAAGGACACTTCATGTCCACTTAGGTGCCACTGTGAATCCCTCTCATTCAAATATCCCATATAATATGTCATTGGTTGCAACATTGGCATCAGGAGCCCCTACCTGCACATTTCCTTTGGATCAGAGTTCGCTGGGAATGGATCTGAAGCCCTGGTCCAAGGTAGTCTGAAGTTTTAAGGCTCTATTTAATAGAGAAACTATGAACACATTGGTTGTGGATTAACTTCTGTCATTTCCATTTTGTCTCTGTTACCTTTGGGACGTCCTTCGCTGAGGTCTCATAGGTAATACAAAACCATTGTCCCAGCAGGATGCTCTGATGGCAATGAGGGCACAAGTCCCATCCATGCAAGGTTCCATACCAAGTCCTGCTATTGCTAACCACCAAAGGAGAGTTGCCCAAAGCAAACCTCAGTTACCAGCTTTCTTCTTCCCAAACCCGAACTCTAGCGGTTGCACTGTCTCTCTCCCCATCATTGCTTTTGCAGCTCCTGGCTGGTAACATATTTCCTCTGTAGCTATCACCAACGCACGCTGTGGTGCTTTGCCAAAGGCCATTTACAGACCCCTTATAAATGGCCACATTTCAGCAGTGAATGAACTATTTTCTGTATTAAGGACTTACCCAAGTCCTTAATGCACCAGGATTTGCTGCTTGCACTCTGGTCTCTTGACTCTGTAAGAGACCCAGAGCTCTAATGAAAACCTGTGACCTGCAGAGATGTCATCCTGAGATTCAAACCCCGTTACCAAAGCTAAACATGAGTTTAAAAGTGCTAAAGGACACTTGTCACACATGTATACAGCCCTTCTGGTGAAGCTGATGGTGATCCTGCTGCCACTTTTTGTAAGAACTTCCTAATTTGCTTGGTAACTACTGCAAGAGCTTGGTTTTCAACATACACACACCCAGACCTCAAGACCTGGGTTCTGCAGTGTCAGTGCTAATGCAGAAAAGAACACCTACCAACTGCTCCTGTATGATTTTGTTACATGGATATTCAAGACATGAATGTCAGTAGTTAATAGACTGTATTTAGTAATTAATGTATTGTATTTGTCATTCTTTTCCTAAGGACACAGTGTATAATAGCTCCCATTGGAGATGGAGAAAGCAGTTTGCTTGTGAAGAAGCTTGCTTCTATCCAACTTCCAGCTGTGGTACTTCAATCCAGCTACAAGCAGCACATTAACCTTGTGTCACTGAAGGCAGAGGTTAGTGGTGGGACAGAGAATACAAGCAAGGACCCTGGCACTACTTTTTCGCTCTGTAGATGATATTATCCACTTGCCATTAGCAGCTGTAACCAGAACGGTTCATTTGCCACCCCCCTCAGATTTTAGGTCTCTGATAAGTTAAATGCATTTGTCACTGTTCCATACTAGCCTGTAATCCAACAATCCAGCTACAAGTAGGTCAATAGGCTGGGATAATACAGGCCATAGAAAGAAGCTGTGCTTCACCCACAAGAAGTTTGCATTTAGCCCCTAAATACTACATTTGCTGTATTAAAATCAAGCCCAGCAGCACGGTGACACTAAGAAACAGCAGCACAGCTTGCAATGGATTTGCAGGGCACATCAGAGGATGCTGAGGAAGCAGAAGGGTCGATGGCTCCATGCATCTGCTGACAAGACAGTTCCCTCTAGTGCCAGATGTGCTGCTGCTTCCGTGTGCACTTCACCAGCACAGCTCCTTACATAGAAGAACTGCTTGAAACCTTGAGCTGCAGCTCCCATTATTTTTCTGGGCTTCAAGGAAGTAGGAGCAAACTAGAAGGAAATGGCACCACCTCTATCCCACCCCTTTGCCCCAGGCAACTGAGTAACGTGGGCTCCAATTTGGCCATAACAGGAGCACAAGGCAGTGAGGAGCATCTCCCACTGGAAGGGCCTTGAGTAATGGTGCTAATGGCCTAAGACTGCTCAGGGATGGGGAATTGGGTTAGCACACACAGGAAGTGCTTTTCCAGCTCTTCCTAGGGACATCTCGCTAGATTCCTGGTACAGAAGGACCTTCACCACCACGTTTTGGAAGGAAGGTGTTTGAGGAGGCTTAAAGCTGGGTTTGTCTGGTTTATAAATGGCAATACTACAGTTGGCTCAGATTTGACCAGGTCTTAACCCCTGGGTGCTTCAGAGCCCCTCTCCAGCACGTCTTTGCTTTACTGTAGCCCCTCTCAGTATTACCTTAGGGAACAGAGGTCCTCATACTGCTGCCAGATGGTTTTTCTGAGGGAGCCCTCATTTGAAGCACTAAGACTCACCATCACTTGGTCTCTTGTTCAGTTCCTTCTTCTTGGTCCTGTTGCTGGTTCCTGCTCTCCAGATCCTCCTCGTAGCTCAGGTTCCAGGAGACTACAGTGCAAGGGATGGTCAGAATACAAGCTACCATAAAGACAACACTGAATGCATGAGCCAGAGGTTACAGAGCAAGCCAGATTCAGAAAAGGCAACTGGCATACGTCCTTTTATACAAGGCTACCAGCACCTGGAACCAAGTGTTTCCAGTTTCCCTTCTCACTATCCTTCTATCCACCCTTGTCCATAGAATCATAGAATCCCAGAATGGTTTGGGTTGGAAAGCACCTTAAGATCATCCAGTTCCAACCCCCTGCCATGGGCAGGGACACCTCACACTGGACTATGTCACCCAGGGCTTCATCCAACCTGGCCGTGAACACCGCTAGGGATGGAGCATTCACAACCTCTCTGGGCAACCCATTCCAGCGCCTCACCACCCTCACAGTAAAGAACTTCTTCCTTATCTCCAATCTAAACTTCCCCTGTTTCAGTTTTAACCCGTTACCCCTGGTCCTATCACTACAGTCCCTAATGCAGCACCCTCTGTGCTGAGCTCACCCCATCATTTCTTCTGTCCATCTTTAGTGGCAATGCTGTCTCTGCATTCTCACCAGAGGGTGGCATCATTAAACCCTCTCAGACTTCAAGGTCAGTAATGGTAAAGAAGGCAACTGGACTCACTGAGTAACAAGCAGAGTGCAGAAAGCGTACTTAAGGGAAGTAAGAAGATTAGTCCTTGCATTGTGGTGCTGGAAGAAACATCCATTTCTTCAGGCCTTTTTGATTTGCTTGTCCTTGAGCAAATGAGAGCCTGTGGGTGTTAAATTAAGCAGCTTTCCCAGCGATTCCCGAAGCACATCGGGATCTCTTGTGAATCACAGAGAAAGCTGTTCCAAAGAGAAGCTTTTAGTGTTGTTATCAGTTTTATTTCAGTGCCCTGCGTGCTTTCCCCTGCTACTGAATAGACCACATCAGTTGGCTGTAGAGCTTGTCTTGAGGAGGACGTGCAGTGAAACAGCTTTCACAGTGGGATGGCAGTGACTGCGTCTCAGCAAGCATAGAAGGAAGATTAGTGATCGATAAGAGCAAGGACTGGTTCTTTCTCAGCCTTGATCCCCTTCAAACACTGTTTTCTCTAACTACCTTCCTTTATGTCCCAGCTGCCATGTGAGGAATGGGGCAGGAAAGGCTGTGGAGACACTGGTGTCCAGGATAAGGCCAGTCTTTCAATAAGCTTTTTAACACTACCAACCACTACAGGTTTGAGAGCTGGGGGCACTACCACAAATCAACCAGAAATCAAAGCTTTTACACCAGAATGCCACCATTCCTCTGTACCTAAACATCTCCGTGAGCATCAAACTGGCTTGAGGAGACCTCTGCTCTTCGATGCTGCCTTGTCTTCTTCCTCCCTTTGGAGAGACCAGCCTTTAACAGGGACATCCGTGATCCTTAGGGGGTGTTTGGGAAGCTTAAAGAAGAAAAGTTCTATCATCTCACAGTGGAAACAGCCCCAAATTTGTCCTCCTCCTGTTAGAAACAGCTTGGGAGCATTCCGTAGGTGACTGAAACAGACAAAGCAAGCTCCTCACCGTGTCATTGCACGCTTAAGAAGAAGCCATGGTTCTCGCATCAATGTTTTTTACTTCAAGTAAAACTCAGCCTTCAAAATGACCATTCCGGTCGTGTTTGAGGTTTGAAGTTTCAGTTCTTTCTTGAGGAGAAGCTCTAAATACAGCACCTTTGCAAGCACGTGAAAGAAAGCAAATCAGGCTGAGGAAACGATGGCTGGGACCATTCACAGAACGGCCGGTGGATGCAAGCAGCAGGACGCACAGCACTGGATCACCGAGAGGAAAACAGATGTAGGGAACTGAACTTGGCAAGGAGAAGATGTTTTGGCCTTACGTCTTTTGCTGTCAGTGCAAAGGCTGTCTTGGCCAAAGGGAATTTGGAGGTTCAAAAAGACTGAGGTAAATGATGAGTGGATCACCTGGGACAACAGTGTAGACAGTGGCTGTCTCTAAAACCAGCTTCAGCTCTGTCAGATGCCTGCGGGTTGAGTCACGCAGAGGGAAAGTGGACTAAATCTAAATGACAAGGAAAGGAACTGCACAAGGAATAGACGGCACAACCACCTTCCTAACGAGCAAGGATGAGAATTAGATGCGCAAACCGCCCTTTCAATTCACTTGAATTGCAGAAGAAGAATTGCACGAGGCCTGACCACGCCAGCAGATGGAGAGGATGGGATTGTTTGGCCAGGTGTGACTTTGGCTCATCCACGCAATCAGTCCAAATACTCGTTTTTGCAAAAGCTGCTCCCTTCAGTTACCATCAGCTGCATCTCTCCTGAGACAGGGTCTTCTGGATGAGCACTTCTCTAATAAACACTTCTGGGTCATCTGTCCATGCCAACGCTGATACCGGAGGCAACGGATGGTGCGCTGCCATATCAGTGGTGGGTATCTCCCAGCCTGGCTTGTGGCTTAGATAAACATCTCTCTCTAACCCTTCCTTGCAGAAAACTCTTGGGCATCCTGTAAACTGGCAAGTCAATGATAAGACCTCCTGTAAAGGTGGGAGGGGCTGAACGCATCTTTCGGTCGCAAGGAAGGTTTTAATTCTTTGGCTTGTTCTGCTTTTTGCTTTTATTAAGTTCCCCTCTTTTGGTTTTGATGTGCCCCCACCTCCGCCTCCCGTCCCATATAAAAGGTTACTCTCCTCCCTGTCATGCGAATCAGTTTTGGTTGACCTCTCTGCACTGTCGTGATTTATTTGGTCAGTGGCACATACCTGATGTCACCTAGTAAAGAGGTAAGGCTGCTTTCTGCTCCCCTTCTCCTGCCAACCATTAGTTTTACAGCAGCATCCTCTGCATTGCAGTGAGAGCTCTTCACCCTTTCCTCTCAGCTTTGTGGTCTCCTCTTGTTAGTCTCTGCCAGGTTGTTCTTCTCCAAGGAGGATGTGATAAAACCACGCTGCCATGTTAGAAGGGGACCTCAGAGCTCCCCTGTTATGGTCTACAGTTATCCTTAGTGCTTTTCACTCGTCTTTCTCTCCAAGCTCTTGCAGGACCTTTGCTCACACCACCTTCCAGCCATTTTCTGCAGCATTTCATTTGCTCAGAGATTTCTTTTTGTTATCCTCTCTCCAGTTTTCCTCACAGGCTCTCCCAGGAACTCCTTTCTTTGGGAGGCCATCACAAGGTGTTTCTGGGTTCATCTTTATCCTCTTAATTTTCATGAGCTGGCAGATACGGGGGTTTTTAAGCTTCATTTGCTGGTGTTCAAACATCCTAAGTTTTCATTGTCTGTAGCCACAACCATTCTTCTCTTTTTGTGGCTCTTTTCCTCTTTCTACACACATGTTCTTGGTCAGTCTCCTTACAAAGACAGACCTGCTGCAGCATGAAATGCATTGGGATGGCAGCTTCTGCAGTACAAATGCTGCTTTGCAAGGCAGTGTGGTCCCACCATTCCTCTCCACCCAACCCAACAAGGATCCTTTGCTGCCCTGCTCCTCTGGTGGAAGCCAAGCTTCTCACCCAAGGCAGCGAGCAGATACAAAAACCTGCTTCAGAAGCATTTCCTACTTGAAAGTCCTCCAAGGAAGGACTGGGCAAAAGGCAATAAGCCAGATAGACAGGTTCTTCTTTCAGGCCAGTGCCATATGAATCGTATTAAAGTGGAATCCATAAGGCTGCAGACCTGGTCCCTGCTAACAGTGTGACTGAAAGATGAGAAGCACATCTGAAGTGTGGCATGTGTGCTAAGGACAGGTCGACTGATCTCAAAGGGTTGCTGATGATGGGAGATCACCCCTTAACCAAGAAGGGTTCTTCCAGGGTAGATCATATGTGGATTCAATGCTATTCACTACTCCTATTCATAGAAACTTCGTCTGGAAATCAAGAAAAATCACCACTGATGAACTTCAAAGGAGGTGCTGAGTTTGATGGAGTAGGAAATGATGAATGGAGCAAAGGTGAGCATGCAGATACACAGTGGTTTACTGGGGCAAAAACATGACAGCCAAAACTAAGAGAGAGCAATGCCTATAGAGCAAGAGGTGGGGTTTTCCCTGAAAAGCAGGTGCTTAAAGAAAGATTTTACTTCACTGCTAACATGGGTGAAGAGCTGAATTTTGCCCCTAGTGCAACGACACGTGAAGGAAGAGATTAGTGGGACCCTTACACGGACAGCAGAGCACCAAGAGGAGCAGCTTCTTGTTCCCATGAGCAGAGCTGATGAAACGGGTACCGCAGCGTTGCCTGCTCATCTGCTGTCTGCATCTTCAAAGGACTGCTAGTAAACTGCAGTGAAGATGCACACATTGTGCAGGGCGACAAAGTGCACTGGAGGAACATCTCCCAGTGACAGAGTTGAAAACCTCCAGAGGTGCAGCTTGTGACAGGTAACTGAGAAGCCATCTCCCTACAATCCTTTTATCCCAGTGAAACACAGAAGCAGGAGATCCCACATCTCCTGCTGTCTGCACACCAAGCTTCTCAGGAAGAAATGCTTCAGCCAAGTGTAAGTTATTGGCCAGGATAACAATGCTAGTGGCATATAGGACAGCAGCAAATAGCATAACTGAACCAAAGGTATAACAGGATAACACTGGAGATCAAACCAGGAGATGTATGCTCTGTCCTGGACAGAGATCCATGATTCTTCCTACCCTCCCAACCACCTCCTGTAGCTTTCTTGTTTCCTCTTCTCATCGTGTCTCTTCAGTTTCTCCTGCTACCAAGAAAGCAGCCTCCCCTGTTGAGAAACAGCTTTTGCTTCTGCTTAACTGATCTCTTCTGGGACATGGAGAAGAGCAGCGCTTGCCAGGTGCTAGCATTGATGTTCTGCTGGTGGGACTCAAACCATTTGACTACCAATGGCCTCTGCGCTCCCTTCTCCCTTCCCAGGATCCCCCAAAAGACCAACAGAGCCCTCAGGAGAAATGCATGGAAGCTGCTGAGCTTCCTGCTGTGACAAGAGCCATGGTAAACTCCTGCCCTTACACCACGCACCCGTGCACGTGTGCACACCCTGCTTCTTATCTGGTATATTATTACTGCTACCATTGGCACCAGGTCAGTGGTAGCAGATAATGTGCTGCGTATAAAACCTGCCACAGGAGATACCAAGCAGCATGACTTAACACGCCTTCGTTTGGTTTCATAGCAAGATAAGTGGGAGTCGGGAAGCTCAAGCAACAAGAAGGAACCTTCCCCTCACTGACTCCATACAGCCATTGTATGACCGAGTGACTCCATATACATTCAATTACAGAGTGCAATCTGCAGACTGAATGATGTAGCTGGAACCACACCTCACACACACACACACACACACACACACACACACACCTCGAGTGCCTTCTTCCTCTCTGCCCACCCCAGATGACCCCTTGAGTAGTTTTGCTATGGTTAAGATGCATTTTACACCCCATAAGAAAGAACAAGGTTTCGGCTGAGTGTGA